GGTTGAACCTCGGCGGCGAATCCAGGGGGAAGCGAGAGAGAATCTGGGGCGCGCAAGCATGGATTAGCGATCCATGGATTTGGCGCGCGGTCGCCAAATTCATGGACCGGGGGAGGTGCCCTCCCCAATATGCGGCCGTTGCCGCCTCGTCCGGCGGCGGAAATCCGCGATTTCCGGCGAAAACGGGACCCGTCGCTGATCCACGCCTCCTTCATCCAGGTCTGCGATCGCCCGAGGAGGGGCGCACAGCAGCCAATGACGAGGTGCCCGCAGACGTCGGCACTCCCCCCCGTGCTGGCGGACCCCCAGCCAGCACGCGACCAATCGACAAGGAGCGTGAGCGGGCAGCGCGGGCGTGCGGTGGAGCCCAATTTTAAAAGGAAATTAGGACACACAAATAAATACACACAAATAAAAATAGTCCCCATATTTTCCCATATTTTCTGGGTTTTTGTCTTCCCCCATAATTCCCATATTTTCCCATATTTTCCTGGGAATCGACGATTAATTGTGTCTGTGTGTTTTTTCCCCTCCTGAAATTTACCTTCCACCCATAAGAAACCCAACCCTGAAACCCCAGGGCGTCCATCGATTTTCCTGGAAAGGGCTCCGGCCCAGGGTTTTCTTTCAGTTGGTTTTACCCCGGGGACGACGAGGAGAGGGCCGGAGGAATCATTTGCAGTGCTTCGTCGAAAGAGACAGGCGGACATATTTTTGAGGATGTCCCGAGCGAAATGCTTGTTGCTCAGAACTTATTGAGGATGTCTCGAGCGAAACGCATACTTTGTGTTATAGATTGTTCCTCTCCTGGGGGCCAGGATTCAGATAATGTCTCAGGTGAAATGCTTGTTTCACGTATGTTCTGTATGTGGATATGTGTTCGGGGAGCGCTTTTCGTTTCCCCCCGCCCCCCAGGACGCCCCAGGAGGCTCGAGAAGCGTGAAAATACATGGTTCCTCACGCCTCATGGCGGGACAAACATGAAACCACGGGGTATCTAACCTGATTGTCCCGAGCAAGGACCACGTTTTCTAACGTGTCCAAGCCACCCAGGGGTGTATCTAACATGGTTGAACCGAGCTGGCACCACGTGTTTTTACCTGTCCAGGCCACCCAGGGAGGCATCTAACATTGTTTTCCCTCTTCAAGGACCACGTGTGTTTACATGTCCAGGCCACCCAGGGGTATATCTAACATGGTTGCCCAGAGCTGACACCGACGTTTTTACATGTCTAGGTCACCCAGGGGGTATCTAACATGGTTGTCCCGAGCAAGGACCACGTGTTTCTACCTATCCAGACCACCCAAGGGTGCATCTAACATGGTTGCCCAGAGCTGGATTCACGTGTTTTCACGTGTCCAGGCCACCCAGTGGGGAATCTCACATGATTGTCCCGAACTTAAACCACGTGGTTTTACGTGTCCAGGCCGCTCAGGGGGTATCTAACATGGCGCCGGGCTCAATGCCGAATTATCAGGAAACGCACGGGGGGCAGAAAATCGCTACCCGAACACATATCCCAACGCAGAAAGTTATGTTTTCTTGCTCTGGACAGAGGGTGGCGCTTTGGGGGTCTCTCCAGGGAGGACATTGCGAGGATGTCTTGAGCGGGAGCGCGAATTCAGCGTATCCAGGCCACGCAAGGGGGCATCTAACATGGTTGCCCCGAGCTGGAGTCACGTGTTTTCACATGTCCAGGCCACCCAGGGTGATATCTCACGTGATTCTACCGAGCTGGAACCATGTGTTGTAACGTGTCCAGGCCACCCAGGGGGGTATCGAACATGGTGGTCCCGAGCTCGAACCTGGTGTTTTAATGTGTCCAGGCCACCCAGGGAGATCTCTAACATGGTTGTCCCGAACTTGAACCACGTGTTTTTACGTGTCCAGGCCACCCAAGGGTGTATCTGATGCCCGAGCAATGACCACATGTTTTTACGTGCAAGCCACCCAGGGGTGTATCTAACATGGTTGCCCAGAACTGGTCCCAAGAGCGTTTACGTGTCCAGACTACACAAAGTGGTATCTAACATGATTGTCCCGAACTGGAACCACGTGGTTTTACATGTCCAGGCCGCCCAAAAGGTATCTAACACGGCGGAAGCAACTGCTTTACCGTGTCCAGGCCACCCATGGGGATATCTAACATGGGCCTCCTGGGATCTTCCTGGGGGCCTGGAACGGACGTCTAACATGAAGATGTATTCAGGATGTCTCGAGCGAGCCACTTTCTTTCACGTGCCCACTTCGCCCAGGCGGATGTCTAGCATGAGGTGGCACGTCCATTGGCACGTTCCGTAACGCGTCCCCATGGCACATCCTGCGGTGCGTCCCCGTGGCACGTCCCCTGGCACGTCGCCTGGCGCGTCCCTTGGGACGTTCCGCGGCGCGTCCTCCTGGCATGTTCCCCTTTCAATTGGCTCTGGGGCAGCTACTATGTGCTGAGGCAGCTCGAGCGTGAGATTCAGATTATTTCGGTCAGGTCTCGGATGCAAAGGAAGACTCGATCCACAACGCTATAGCACACAATCGCGGCATGGCACATCGCAATTCAGCACGGCGCAGCACAACACAGCCCTCGACACGGTACATCAAGATCGATACACTTAACGCTGCAACCTGGCACGTTCCTTGGCACGTTCCATGGCGTGTCCCGCGGCGAATCCCCCTGGCACGTCGCGCGGCGCGTCCCCTGGCACGTCCCGTGGCACGTCCATTGGCACGTTCCGTAGCGCGTCCCGCGGTGCGTCCCATGGAACGTCCCCTGGCACGTCGCCTGGCGCGTCCCCTGAGACGTTCCGCGGCGCGTCCTCCTAGCACGTCCCCTGTCATTTAGCTCTGGGGCAGCTACTATGTGCTCAAGGTGCTCGAGCTCAACATCCAGATCAGTTCGGTCAGGACTCGGATGCAAAGGAGGACTCGATCCACAACGCCATACAGCACAATCGCGGCATGGCACATCGCAATTCAGCACGGTGTAGCACAGCACAGCCCTCGGCACGGTACATCAAGATCGATACACTCAGCACTGCATTTGCCCGTCGCCCAATCAGGTGTCTTTGAAAACGTTGCCATGCCTTACATTTCTATATTCCTTTCCGGGTTCGTGGGTCGATCATGTTTTGTTTTCCCCCGGCTTCGGCCGGCGAAATTTTTGGCGATACATAACAAGGTAAAGCCCCATTCGGCGTGGAACAATTGAGGATGCCCCTAGCGAAACGCGTGTTTGGTTTCGGCTGACGAAATTACTGACGATAACTAACAAGGTCAAATCCCATTCGGCGTGGACAATTGGAGCATGTCCCTCGCGAAACGTGTGTTTGGTTTCGGCCGGCGAAATTATTTGCGATAACAAGCAAGGTCAAGTCCCATTCGGCGTGGACAAATTGAGGATGTCACTCGTGAAACGCGCGTTTTATACTCACGTGTTGAGGGTGTCTCAGGTGAAACGCTGGTTTTGCAGAATTGGGGGATGTCTCGAGCGGGGTCTTCGCCGGGGGCCAGAATTCAAAGGATGTTTCAGGCGAAATGTTTGTTTTCACGTGCCATCATGTTCGATCCCTCGAGGGCGAGCACGCCGGAGCTGTGGGTCTGGCACCGATTGGGGTATCCGCGGGGCGAGGCGCAGTCGTACTTGCAATACGTGGTGCCCAGATGCAATAGCTTGAGCGCTGGATGCGGTAATCCTGAAAGGTCTTTGGAAACCCCAATAGTGGGTAACTAAACATTTTCCAGAGGCCTTTGTATTGAAAGACTGAGGTCCCACCAATTGGGGGTAACCAATTCCCGAAAAGGGCTCGGCCCAAGGTTCTCTTTTAGATGTTTACCCCTGGCCTCGACGGCTGTTAGACGGGCGAATGTAATCTGCGATAGATATCGAGGTCGAGAAGGACCAGCGAATGATAATTTGAGGATGTTCCGAGCGAGAAGTTTATTTTGCAGAAAGTGTTGAGGATGTCTCGAACGAAACGCTTGTTTTGTGTTATATATTGTCCTCTCCTGGGGACCAGAATTGAGAGGATCTCTCAAGTGAAATGCTCGTTTTCACGTGCCCAGGTCTTGAGGATGTCTCGAGCGAGACGCTTGGTTTCACGCGTCCAGGTCGCCAAGGCGGATGTCTAGCATGAGGATACGTTGAGGAAGTCTCGATCGAGACGCTTGTTTGCACGTATCCAGGTCGCCCAGGCGGATGTCTAGCATGAGGAGGTGTTGAGGAAGTCTCGATCGAGACGCTTGGTTTCACGTATCCAGGTCGCCAAGGCGGATGTCTAGCATGAGGATCTGTTGAGAGTGTCTTAAGCGAAACGCTTGTTTTCATGTGTCCAGGTCGCCCAAGCGGATGTCTAATCTGAAGATGTGTTTAGGATGTCTCGAGCGAGACTTTGTTTTCACGTGTCCAGGTCGCCCAGGCGGATGTCTAGCATGAGGAGGTGTTGAGAACGTCTCGAGCGAAACGCTTGTTTTCACGTGCCCAGGTCACCCAGGCGGACGTCTAACATAACGATGTGTTGAGGATGTCTCGAACGAACCATGTGTTTTCACGCGTCCAGTTCGCCCAGGCGGATGTCTAGCATGAGCGTGTGTTGAGGACATGTTGAGCGACACGCTAATTTTCACGTGTCCAGGTCGCCCAGGCGGTTGTCTAGCATGAGGATTTGGGCAAGATGTCTCGAACGAAACGCTTGTCCCCAGCACGTTCCGTAGCGCGTCCCCTTGGCACGTCCCGCGGTGCGTCCCCACGGCACGTCCTCTGGCACGTCGCCTGGCGCGTCCCTCGGGGCGTTCCGCGGCGCGTCCTCCTGGCATGCCCCCACCTGTCAATTAGCTCTGGGGCAGCTGCTACGGCGAAGTTTTTTTTTTTTTTTTTTTTTTTTTTGTTTGTTGTTGTTGTTGTTGTTGTTGTTTTTTGTTGTTTTTTTATCTATGTAGGCGCCGAGCGGGCTCGGCGGTTTCATGCATAAATTCTCCAATCAGCGCGCGGCGAGCCCCGCCGCGCGGCGTGCGCGGGCGGCCGCCGACCCCGCGGCTCTCTCGCGCCCGCGGGCCGCCGCAGCAACTGCGAAGCCGCGGGCGCAGAGGGCGCCCTCGAGCCCAGGGCGGACCTGCCGCGGCTCTTCGGCCTCCGCCCGCGGGGCCGCCGCGACCAGGCGCCGCGGCGCCGCGGCGCGCGGCGGCGCTGCCGCCTGGCCCCCATCGCCAGCCGCAGGTGGCGGGGGCGGGGCGGCCGCAGGCTGCCGCTGCGATGGCACGGGCGCCGCCGCGAGTGCCTGCTCCTCCGCCCAGTGGCCCAGCCTGGCCTGGAGTGCCGTCGCCCAGCACAGGCGCGTGCTCTCCATCGGCGGGGACAGCGGCGCGAACGGATCCTTGGACGCAGGCAGGGTGCCCCGTGCGAAGTCCGTCCGCGCCTGGGCTCGGGAGCCCCTCAGGGACGCGGGCTGCCCAGCCGCCGCGCTGGCCCCACACGGCATGGCCAGGCCGCGATGCGCGCGCCTGGGGAGGCGGCAGTACCCCCAGCACGCTGAGCATACCAGGGGGGGCTCGGAGCCGTTGCCCTCGACGCGCGACCCCCGTGTGAGGTGGCCGTAGACCCTCAATCCCGCTGGGCGGGCCGCATCAGCCGCCGCCTCAGGGGCTGGGCCGCTGCAGGCCGCCGCTGCCGCCGCCCGCCGCGGGCTGGGCGCGGGCGCCGAGGCCTCGCGGCGCCTCGACTGCACCTGCGCCCTGCGCTGGGGTGCTCGGCGCAGCACCTCCGCGGGCCAATCGGCCGAGGCGGGGCGGCGCCTCGCGGGCGACGGCCGCGAGCAGGAAGCTGCCGCTGCCGCCTCTGCTGCCAGGGCCGCCGCCGTGGCGAGGAGGGGGCCGCCGTCAGCCGCCGCGGCCTGCGCCTCGCCGTCGCCAACGCCAGCCACCGCGACGGGCGCTGCCTCCTTCCTGTCCTTCTCCTTGTCCTTCTCCGCAAAGAGGGCGGAGGAGTACCGCAGGGCGAAGCAGCAGCCGAACTCGTCCTGCTGGTAGTCGCCGTCGCCGTGGAGGCCCCTGTGTGACGCCAACGCTCTTTCGATCGCCCGCAGGAAGGCCTGCCCTTGCACAGTGGGCACCTGGGTCACCTCTTTCAGCGAGACGAGCTTCTTGTCTTCGAACGCGGTGCTGCCCGCCTGCTCGAACTTGTGCCCCAAGCCCCTGGCCACCTGCCCCAGGTGCTTCATGTAGCCTACGTGCCCCACAGGGGGTGAGCAGCCCGCAGCAGCCGCTCTGAGCTGTCTGGCGATCCTCCCGAGGCGGAGGCGGCAACTGGTGAGGGGGCTGAGCTTCCTGACCGCCTTCCTGCGCTGCTGGTCCGCCTGCTTCTTCTTGACAGAGCGGGGTCCTTTGGCCCTGCCCTGGTACCACTCACCCTCGGAGATGCCGAACTGGTCGGTCAGGTGGAGCTCCGCGGTCTCGACGGACTCCTTGAGCCTCCTGAACGGGAGCTCGAGGTAGGCGCTGACCTCCGTGACCGCGAGAACACCGAAGGCCACCCTTCGGGCCAGGATGCGGGCACTGTGCTGGTGCCCGTCGTGGTCAGTCGCCGCCACGCCCCAGGTCGTTGACTCCAGCTCTCCGACGCCCTCCGAGCCCGCCTGCGCCGCCTGCCCCGTGCTGTGGACGCTGCCGAAGGCGGCGCTGAAGCTGTTGCTCCTGGCCCAGCAGCAGGCGTTGGCCGCCTTCTGGCTATAAGCGCATCGCCTCTCCTGCGCCAGGATGACGTCGTCACCTCCTCCATCCTGGATCCGCTCCATCTCCACCTTCTTCTCTGACCAGGTCGAGACGTTCAGCGTGACGAAGCTAGTTGGCTTCGGTCCCGTAGGCCTGATTTGCTTGGCCAGCTGGAGGGGCTTGGCCTGCGGTCGCCCAGGCTGAGGCTGGGCCGCAGGCTGCTCGGTTGCCGCGGCGGCCGCGGGGCCGCCAGGCGGGCGGCTGCTCGCCGCCTTGGGGCTCCGAACCTCAGGGGGTCTCACGCCCTCGCCCGTAGTCTCGTCAACTTGAATTGGGTACCCACTATGACATGTGGGCCCCTGGCTAGGCTGAGGACTGCCAGTCCTTCGGTCGGGCCCAGCCAAGCCAGCCGCAGCGCTTGGCTCTGTCCTGCTGCTGAGCGCCTCGAACTTGGTGTCGTGGCGCACGACGCCGAAGCGCCGTTCCTGGCGCAGCAGCGGCACAATGAAGGGAAGTTCGACCCAGGCGTCGGTCGCCACGTTGGCCGCCTTGTAGGCGGGCAGGCCGCCGCCCGGCGCCGCCGCCGCCTCTGAGCGGCTGGGCGCCGCCGCCTCTGTCCCCTCAGCCCCTACAGGGGCGGGCGGCGCCGCGCCGGCGGGGCCGCCGCCTGGCAGCGGGGTGCTACGCGCGGGCCAGGCCGCTGTCAGCAGCAGCGCCAGCAGGAGGTGGAGGGGCCGCCGCAGCGGCCTTCTGGTCGGCAGCGCGCTGGCGGGCCGCCTCGTCTGCCGCTCGGCTCTCCATCGCTGCCGCTGGGGGAGTCCCAGCTCCAGGCGCAGCGTCTGCGGCGGGGGCGGCGGGGGCAGCAGGGGCGGCCGCCTGCCCTGCAGGCTGCGGCGGGGCGCCCGCGCCCTGCACGGGGGTGCCAGGGGCCACGGCTGCTGCAGGCCCCTCCTCGGTGCGCTTGCGCTTCTTGGCCACCTCCTCCGCGATCTGGCGCTTGATGCGCTGCTGGTGCTCCTGGCAGTTGCGCTCGAACGTAGCCTGCGCGCCCTGCATGATCTGGAGCCCCTCATCGCAGAGGCGCCTGAGGGCGGCCTGCGCCTCCTCCTCCAGCTCGGCGAAGTTGTCAAACGACTCCGCGTCAAAGTTGAAGGTGAGCTGCCTCGCGCCGTCGGGCTGGGCTCCCACGACGCCCGCCGCTTGGGCACGCTGGCGCAGGAGGGCGTTCTCCTCCTCCTTGGCCTCCGCGAGGCTGCCCGCAGCCTCGTCGCGCCAGCCGCGGCATTCAGCGAGGTGGTCCTCCGCCGCCACGAGCGCGTCCGCCGCCTCATCCAGCTGGCGCTGGAGGTTGATCCGCTTCGCCGTGGCCGACTCCAGACGTTGCTCGAGCGGCTTCGGCACTGGGGCGACCGCGGGCGCGACAAAGCTCCGCGCTTCGCGGACCGCCTCCTGCAGCCTGGCTGCGATGGCTGGGTCCCCACAGGCGAGGAGCGCGTCGAGCTCGCTCTCGGGCAAGGCCGACCAGGGGGCCCTCGGGAAGGCGCCTCCGCCACGGCAGCCCGCGCCACCCCCGCCGCCGCCACGGGAGACTGCACCGCCGCCACCACGGTAGGCTGCACCGCGGCCCTTGCCGCCCTTGCCGCCCTTGGCTCCATTCTTCGGTGGGCCTCTGCCGCCGCCGCCGCGATGTGCGAGTTGGGGTCCGCCGCCGCCACCGTCCGCCCAGACCCCAACGCGGGGCGAAGGCTTCGAGTGCGCCAGCTCCAGCCCGATCCCGCACAGCCAGCACTTCGCGTTCGAGCGGAAGTTCCCGCGGTACCGGCAGCCCGTGCACACGACGAAGCCAGGCACGGCCTTAGGCCCCATCGCTGGTACGGTCGGGCGCGCTGCTCAGCTGCGGGCAAGCAGCAGGCAGGAGACGGCGGGGGCGGACCCGCCGACTCAGAAGAAGACTTGACCCGCAGGTCCTGGAAGGTGCTGCTGTGGCAGCGGACACACTTAGGAAAGGAAGGCGGCCTCAAAGCGGAACCTCCCTCGCGCTCAGAAGTCGCCCCGAAAGACTCGCGGTCGTCGGGACGGTTCATGGCCTTGAGCCAAAATGGCTACGGAACGGCGAAGGCATTGGATAAGGAAGCCTTGGATAAGGAATCAAGGGTCTGGAAGCCAGCGGCACTCCAATTGCGGGTCGGCCATGGGCATCGCCACCGCTCTCATAAGATAAGGAACCCTCCAGGGTCTGGAGCCTCCTGGACGCATTCCTTAACCAACGCCTCCACCGTATGTGCTCAGGCAGCTCGAGCTTAAGATCCAGATCAGTTCGGTTAGGACTCGGATGCAAAGGAGGACTCGATCCACAACGCTATAGAGCACAATCGCGGCATTGCACATCGTAATTCAGCACGGCGCAGCACAGCGCAGCCCTCGGCACGGTACATCAAGATCGATACACTCAACATTGCAGCCTGGCACGTTCCCTGGCACGTTCTGTGGCGCGTCCCGTGGCGAGTCCCCCTGGCACGTCGCGCGGCGCAACCCCTGGCACGTCCCGTGGCACGTCCATTGGCACGTTCCGTAGCGCGTCTCCTTGGCACGTCCTGCGGTGCGTCCCCATGGCACGTCCTCTGGCACGCCGCCTGGCGCGTCCCTTGGGACGTTCCGCGACGTGTCCTCCTGGCATGTTCCCCCTGTCAATAAGCTCTGGGGCAGCTACTATGTGCTCAGGCAGCTCGAGCTTAAGATTCAGATCAGTTCGGTCAGGACTCGGACGCAAAGGAGGACTCGATCCACAACGCCATAGAGCACAATCGCGGCACTGCTCATCGCAATTCAGCACGGCGCAGCACAGCACAGCCCTCGGCACGGTACATCAAGATCGATACACTCAGCATTGCATTTGCCCGTCGCCCAATCAGGTGTCTTTGAAAACGCTGCCATGCCTTACATTTCTATATTCCTTTCCGGGTTCGTGGGTCGATCATGACATGTTTTTGTCAGCGGCACCCGCCGCGCAACAACGACGACGACAGCTACGACTACGATTGCGACCATGATGATGATGGTGAGGAGGAGGTTTTATGATCAGTCCTTCTCACCGTCGAGAGAATTGGGTGCGGACCCAAACTAGAGACCTTTAGCGGTCAATTGTACGCGGCCTGCCTTGCGTACGCTTCTCTTCAAATGCAGGTGTTGTGGCCCGTGCAAGAGCTCGCGCCCCCCCCCCCCCGCACTTAGCTGCGCACCGCTGCGCGCAACAATACACACCACTGTTGCACGAGTGCACGACCTCTCGCCGCCGATCTTCTCTTGCGCCAGACCTACCAGCCGAGGCCTCCCGGAAAGGGGCCGCATCGGTGGGGTCGGAGCATCCATCCGCATCGCTGGTGCATCGGGGATGCATCGGGGACGCATCGGCGCCGTCGGCGATGCATCGGCGCCGTCGGCGTGGAGAGATTCGGGCTCCAGGTCGAGCCGCATCGCCTGTGCAGCGGCGGTGCGGCGCGATCTTCGGACCCCATCTGCTCGGACCCCACTCGGGAGGCCCAGGGCTGCTCCAGCCTGGCGACAGCACCTCTCTTCGGCTGCACGCAGGAGTGACCCTTGGCAAGGGTGACCTTCGTTGCGCGGCTTCTTGGGGGCCGCTGGGGGACCAAACACAGGCGCGCAAGACGCTGCTGCTGCATCGCGTCTTGCGATCTGGGGACCAAGTGATGCCCGCACCAAATGTCACTCCAACGAAAGGTCACTCTTACACATCGGTCGGAAGAAATCGGTAAAAACATGAAGTAGATAAAATAGATTGGGTTCAGGTCCCCCAGAGAATCACAACCACGTCAAGACCATGCCGATTCTTGAAGCGGGAAGGCGCCAGAATGACGGACCTGGGGCTCCAGAAACATCCAACGCTCAACGACCCATGGGTACGTCTTGGGTCGATCTCTGCAGCGCCCTGCCCACCCCTGCGGCTCTTGGGCCGCTCCGTCCTGCAGCTCCGGCCCCGCGAACCGCCCCACCATCGGCGCAGCGAGGCGCCCCCCGCCCCCCTCCCCTCCCCCCTCCGCGGGCGGCCGCGAGGCGCTCGGGCGCTGGGGGAGGCGCCCGGGCGGGCCCCGAGCCGGGGCGGCGGGCCTGGCCGTGCCGGCGGACCGAGGGCCGACGTCGTGCTGCCCCGCACCGCAGGACGAGCTGCGGGCCAACCACACACACACACACACACACACACACACACACACACACACACACACACACACCACACACACACACACACACACACACACACACACACACACACACACACACACACACTACACACACACACACACACACACACACACACACACACACACACACACACACACACACACACACACACACACACACACACACACACACACACACACACACACACACACACACACACACACACACACACACACACACACACACACACACACACACACACACACACACACACACACACACACACACACACACACACACACACACACACACACACACACACACACCACACACACACACACACACACACACACACACACACACACACACACACACACACACACACACACACACACACACACACACACACACACACACACACACACACACACACACACACACACACACATCGGTTGCCCCGAGTCGTGTTACCCCGACCTCGGGTTTCGCACATCGGGTGTAGTACACATCGGGTATGCACGTCGGTGACCCCGAGTCGTATTACCCCGGCATCAGGTATGCACATCGGTTACCCCAAATCGTATTACCCCCCAATTGCAGGACGAACATCGGGTATGCACATCGGGCATACACATCGTGTTACCCCAACATCGTGTTACCCCGAATCGCAGGGTTAACGTCGGGTATACGCCAATCCTGTACTTGGCGCCCTCCAGACTGGTGTTGCTCCCAAGAGCCAGAACCCTCTACAAGTCTGGTCACAACTACGGTCGGGAACGTTTGCTTAGCGTGTCGCGGCGGCGGCCACAGCGATACGCTATGCCCTGCGAGCGGATAGCGTGTCGCTCCGCTCCGCGGGGCGGGAGGCTCGGCAAAGCTCGGGACGTTGACGCATCGAGACTGGGACGTGGATAGCGTGCCGCGCCGCGGCGTGGTGGGCCAGAACAGGCGGAGCGACAGGCTATCCAAAAAATCCCGACAGTAGCGAGACAAGATTGAAGTCGTGTCGCGGGGAGCCTGCCCCCCTCCCCCCCCAAAGCTGCAGCCAGCGCACCGTTGTGCGCGGGCGGGGAGGCATTCAGCCAAGAGCCCAGCGCGCCCGTCAACTTTGAAAGGGCCACTCAACCAAGAGTGCACACTGCGCCTCTCGACTTTGCATCGCCAACAGCCACTCAGCGACGCCGCGTTAACCGCGGTCAGCCCTGTAGGACTTGCGCCTGCTCAGGAATACGGCGACGTCCTGCCATCACCGCATTGCCGTTGGTACGTATCCAGAAGAAGAAGAACATAACACCCAAAACATATAATTCTGGCGATCCGCACGGATTTCTTGGATCTGCGCTGGACCTCCCTCCCTGGCGCGCGGAGCGCCGGAGAGGCCTCAAAATTGCTTCCCAGAGGCTCAGAGCCCTCCGATGAGACCTCAAGAAGCATCCATGAAGACTCTGGCCTCCCGCATGGGTTCCGAGCAGATGGGGTTGGGGGATCGCGCCGCACCGCCGATGCATCGGCGCTGCGGCTCGATGTGGAGCCTCGATGTTTCCCACGCCGACGGCACCGATGCATCGTCGACGTCGCCGCGTCGACCCCGATGCATCGGCGATGCGGCGCGATCCTCTGACCCCATCCGTCGGATCCCATCTAGACCACCCGTGAAGAAGGGGGGCCGGCGCAGATTCAGGGACGGGACCGCCGCGCCCTCTCGGGCTGCCCCCGCGCTCGCACGCCGCCGCCACCGCGCGGGAGCGCCCCCCACCTGACCTTCCAGAGTGCCACCAGAAACCTCGAGACCAACGGATCTATCTGGACTGCTTCAAACCTCGCTTACACTTTTTAACTTGCGATCAAGGCCCGGGTGTCATTCGCACAGCGCCGGCTGAAGAAAGACGGCTGCAATGCACTGCCAACGAATTCCGAGGAGCTTTGCCTTTTCGCGCTCGACTCCCGGCATCCGCGCACGCTCGACAACTATAAATGCCAGCTGGCTAGAGTGTGCAGGCTTGGGCCGAGACAAACGTTCTGATGCCATGTCTTCTCGCCCTCCTGGAAGGTAAGGAAGTGAGACCTTGTTAGTTGAATCACACCTTTTTTCCCTCCCCTCCCTTCCCCTCCCCCCTCCCCTCCTCCTCCTCTCCCCCCTTAGTTGACGAAGCTGCACTGCATATTTCCCGCGGCGCTGATTCGCGCGCAATGTTTTTGCCCGCGCGCGTAACGGCGTACAGCCGCAAACATGATCAATAATCCGATCGCTCAAGAATGCTGGACCAGCTCCCCTGACATTTCTTGAGACAGACCCTGGCTAGCTGCTTTTTCCCTCATCCAGGTCTCGCTGGTTTGTCAGGTTTCCTGTCGAGAAGGCGGTTGGGGTCCGAGCCCCAAGCAGTATTCAGCGTCGGCGAGGCTGATTCACGTACAGATGGGGCGAGAGAGAGAGAGAGGACTAAGACGACAATTCAGGGGGACGCTCCCATCTACCACGCGGGACCCTGACCAGCTGCTTCCGTTGACGCTGGAGTGGAGACAGTGCGCCAGAGTCTGGGCCAGCCTCCCGGCAGGTTGGCGAAGAAGCGCTGGCCCAGCTTCGTGGGAGGAGTTTTTTTCATCGGGTGGAACCTTGCCGTTCGGGTATGCAATTACCGTTCGAGCCCGAACCTGGCTGATATGCTAGGTCGGTTTGGTGATAGGACGGGGTAGGTGGGCAGGCCGATCAGTATTATCATGTTGTTAATAGCCCTTGTGGCTCAGAAGAGAGGCGGCGGCAAGTACACATCCCCCGTGCCAGCTCTGTAGGCTGGCCTTCTGCACCAAGAATCTGCACCGCATTGCGAAAACAACGATTCCTGACAGCCCATCTCGCTGAGGGAGGAGGTTTCTTAATCAGACGCTCGACTGCATGGCTGCTCGTTCGCTCCTGGCGAGCAAGGGGCGGAGGCAACCTTCCGTGCGCCAGAGACCGGGCAAGCCCTCCGGCAAGCTAGCGGAGAAACGCTGGCCCAGCTCTTAAAGAGGACCCAGGCATGCGACGTCCTGATCTTTCCAGGACGGCGTTCCTGGACGTCCCGACCCCTTTCCCGGGGCCAGCTCGCCATCACGGCCCCCAGGGCCCGGCGAGGGCCCCCAGGGGCCGAAGGTACTGCAGAACTTGCCGCCCTGCTCTTCTTCTTCTTCTGCGACGCGACCGTGCCTGGGCTCTTCACCCGACGCTCGGCGGCGCGGCGGCTCGCTCGCGCCCGGCAGACGAGCGCGGCGGGGGCGGCCCCCCCGGGCCCGGGCCCTCTGGCCTGCGGCGGCTCAGCCCCTTCGCCAGGAGCCGCCCGGCGCGGCCGGGGCTAGGAGAGGGGGCGGGGAGCGGCAGACCTCCTGGGCGCCGCGGATCCGCCACGACGAGCGCCTCAACTCGCCCCAGACGTCGTAACAAAAAATCAGGGCGGCAAGGTTTTCATGATTGTCGGCCTCGGGGGGCCCACGCCGGGCCTCGGGACCGTCAGAAAACGGCTCAGGATGAAACACTGGCCCCAGGGAAAGGGTCTGGACTTCTGGGGACGCCGTCCTAAAAAGATCAGGACGTCGCATGTCTGGGGCTTCGAGTAGGTGCAGTAGAAGCTCGACCACAGGGAACCTTCCACGAGAAATCCAGCCCTGAGACCCCAGGATGTCCGTGGATTTTTGGTGTCGGACGGCCACGCCTATCATTACACAAAACCATCGCAGCCCAAGCAAGCAGGGTGCTTCTTGGCATGGGTTTCCGTTGTAATCCACTACGGAACTGACTTGCCCCCAAGTTGGGCATCTTGCCGAATTTACGAAACACAAACAGGATGCTCCGTGGATCCACTGAACACTTTGCTGATTCTCGTAGTGTGAACCACAAATCCACTTTTTTGTGGTGCATCGATTCTGTAGTCGATCTCCTACTCGATCTCGAAGACGAAGCCAGGGCGAGGATCAAATCGGGCGAGGATAAATCGAGAAGCTCTGCGATCCGGCGGCCTTGAAGATGTCTCGGGCGCCGCGGCCTTCTCAAATCGTTCCAGAACGCTCTGGAACGGATCATTCCTTGTCCCAGCCCCGCCCGAAGCATCTCTCTCTCTTTCGCAACGTCAGTGTCAGGTTGCTCGCTCCCCCAGGGCCGTCCGCGAAGGGGAAAGCGGTCCCAGGGCAGCGAGCCGCCGTGAAGAAACACGCCGCTGGAGGTCTGTGTGGCTGGAGGGGTCCAAGGGGGCGGATGCCAGAGTGAGTTGGCCAACCCCCTCCGTGCACTTCCCCCCCCTCGCCTGCCTCTGGCAAGTGGGGTCAGAGAGAGGGAGCCGGCCCAGCCTCTTCATGGCATACGTAAGGTAAGTTCGTGCAGCGTCGGCGCGCGCCACAGTTTTTGATACCGCGTCGATAGTTCAACCTTCAATCGATCGCGGCCCCGATCGTTCGAGTTTGAACTCCGTCGGTTCCAGTGGCGCTACCATGTCCCTCGGTGGTTCTGCGTCGCAGAATTCAACGTTGCACGCCTTCGCTGGCGTGCCAACGCCGCATGAACCTACCGTACAGTAGCCTCCCCCTCGAACCCGCCAGGAGGGGAGGGGGAAGGGGAGGGTGCCGGTGCGTTGTCCATCATGCTTCCTGCCGGCCAGCCGCAGCGGAGGGAGAGCTGCGATCCTTACCCAACCTCCCCCCCGTAAGGGTACCCAGTGTGTCGGCGAACTTGAAGAGGCCCAGGGACACACACACAAATAGATACACACAAACCATAGGATTCCCAATATTCTTCCGCATGTTCTGGATGTTCGTCTTCCCCTCCACCTCCTAGTTACCTTCCATATCTTCGCGGGGATCGACGGCGCGTATTTGTGTCTGTGTGTTTGCCGTTTCCTCCCCCGAGATCTCTCGACATGGGGCGTCGAGGCCGACGGGTGCACCCAGGGGCGTGGGGCGGGGGCCGCAGCTCACCCCCAGTGGTGGCTGGCCCGTCCTGTGTAGGCGTAGCGCCCCACGTGGGAGGTCGTGGCCCCCAGGTCGGCCCAGACCGTGCCCCCGAGGTCCCGCCAGCGGCGGCAGAAGGCGATGCTGAGGGGCAGCGATGGTGGGCGGGGGAGCCGGCACGGGGGGGAGGCCTCGACCTGGAACCGGGGATATGCATCGCCGCTGGACCGGCGGCAGGGCTCCGACAGCGAACCCGAACCTCCCTGGGCAGGTTTGGGTTGCCGGCCCCCTATCGGCGATCAATGGGCGATTGGGGGACGATGCATCCCCCCCTATGCCTATCCCCCCCCCTACCGTTGCCCCCCTTATGTCTTCGCCCAGGAACTCGCCGTCGCTCGACACCATCGTGTCGAAGAATCGCCACCACCTCTGATGGGTCACCAGTCGCCCAGCCCTGGTGCCGGTCCAGCGGCATGCCAGCTCGGGGTGCGCCTCTTGCATGCTCTCGAAAACGGCCCGGCGGATGAGCATGCAGCCAGTCGGCCCCGCGTCGACCTCGGAGAAGGAGCTTCCGCGGTCCAGGGCGTCCTGCACCTCGGGAAAAGGGTTGACCGACACAGCACGTCAGGATGCGTTGTTCCCTTGAGCGTCATATCCGAGCGCCCCCCCCCCCCCCCCGAAACGCTGACTCCAGCAGCCTGGAGAGGAGAAGATGGAGCTCGGCCAACATTTCGGCTGGCGCCCATATGTGGGGAAGCCGAAATATACCAGTACCGCCACTCCCCTGACCTCTCTCGGGGTGGGTTCTGCCAGGAATTTCGAGTCAAATCCAGCCGTGGCGACGAGGGCCTCCCAGAAAGCCCAACAAGGCGAAGACGAGGCAAGAGTAACGGTATCGGTGCCTTTTCCTCCTCTGGATCTGCAGCCGTGGCGGTGGCGTGACTGCGTCCCCTGGGGCCTTGTGGTGCTGCGCGTGCAGCACGAAGTGCAGGCCGTCGCGCAGCCGCGCCGCGGAGCCGCTGCGCGCGGCGGCGTCCTGCATCTTCTGCTCGTTGAGGTTCTTGGCGGGGTACGGCACCAAACTCACGTCACGGTCCTGCCTTGTCGGGGAGGCGTAAAAACTCGGGTTAGGGGCATTCGGGTTGGCCTGGCGGGGCTGTCAGAGAAATGACGAGATCCCACCGGAACTCGACGCGAGCTTCCGCCGCAAACATCCGACGAAAACTGGACCGTCAAAACCCAGCACAAACTCGTCAAAAAACGTCGCCAAACCCGCGCTCTGGCGGACTCGGCCCTTGCGTTTCCCCGAAGAGAGGGACGGATGGAGGGAGGCAGGGAAGGAGGAAAAGAAAAGAAAAGGGAGGAGGAGGAAGAGGAGGAGGAGGAGGAGGAGGAGGAGGAGGAGGGGGGGAGGAGGGAGGATGAAGGAGGAGGAGGAGGGAGGGAGAGAGGAGGAGGAGGAGGAGGAGGAGGAGGGTGGGGGTGGAGGAGGGGAAGAGGCGGAGGAGGGGGGAGGTGGAGGAGGGGGGGGAGGGAAGGAGAATATGATGATTATGATGCTGCTGCTGCTGATGATGATGATGAGGAGGAGGAGGAGGAGGAGGAGAAGAGGAGGAGAATATGACGACCAGGAGGAGGAGGAAGAGAAGGAGGAGGACAAGGAGGACAAGGAGGAGGAGGAGGAGGAGGAGGAGGAGGAGGAGGACACGTGGCCACCAAATGGCACACGACACGTTTGCGTTCTTGGTAACGCTTCGGGTTGTGGACGGGACGGCCCCCCCAGGTAGTCCCCGGTGGCCTCAACAAGCGCCCCGAGCATCCGGGGGCGCTTTCAAAACCCTGGCGCCGCCTCCCGAGGGGCCCCATGGGGCGCTCGGAACCACCCAACGCGACGCGACCCCGTGACCCCGCCCGAAGCATTCATCGAGGGCGCGCTGCTCGGCGAGGCCGCGGCTAGGCAAGAACCCGGCGGCGTGGGCGACGCTGCGGGTCATCGACACGGCTGCCCCCGAGCAGGGTGGGGTCGTCCCGCGCTCGGGTGTTGAGACCGCCTCGAACTGACTACTCGGGGCGCCTGTTGAGGCCAGCCGGGACTACCTGGGAGGCTGTCTGTGCGCAGTCCGAAGCTTTTACATCTTGCCTCAGCAGGTTGCGGATCGTCTCCGGACTGAAGGCCACGTCGGCGTCAAGGAAGAGCAGGTGGGTGCAATCCGACTCCAGGAACTCCATGGCGGCCTTGCGCCGTGGCTCGTCTGCCACTCGGACGGGCCACGAGGTAAAGGAACATCAACAGCACATATCCCCTCGGCCACGCACGACAATCTTTTCGCAACGACCCGCGCATTCGCAAATGATAGTCTGTTCGCAACGCCACGGGCACCTAGATCGGTCTCTAATCTTTGCGCTTCGCGCCGAAGCGTGTTTAGCTTCACGCTTTCGCGCTGCCCCGTAGGGAAGAGCGCGTCTCTGGCCCAGGCCGCGACTCGCGAATCGCGATTGCCGTCGTGGGAAACGATCGCAATGTTTGTGGTCACGGAGTCGAGATATCCGGACTGCCTCAGGCCCCCAGATGATTTCTTTCGCAGCGACGCGCGCATCTCCATCAAAATCCCAGACGGGCGCGCCCCTCGCAAGCTTCAGACAAGGCCAGCACGACTGCGCGATCAGGCAGCGAGAAGCGATGCCCCACCTAGAGCCTAGACTGTGAGACCGTGCTTGTTTGACCTTGGATGTGACTTCAAAGAGTTTGGTGCACTCTGGGAGCATTCGTCTTAAAATCATATGCGATTTGAAAGAGCGACACATTTCATATAATTCTGGCTTTTCTTAAATTGTAGTTCGATCTGACTTCGACGAGAGCTACCTTCCAGGGTGCATACTTCAAACTGCTCAAAGCCGAGACCGCCAGACGCTGCAAACATGTATACACGTGCATTCATGCATATAGGTACATAAATATACATGCACTAGAACTACGCGCGCGCTTAGGTTCTAGCGCACACGCCCCCGATTGCAAAATCGACATGGGATGAAGAGGGCGACGACGGCGACGGCGCATGGGACGGCTGCAACAACGGCGACAACGTCCGACGAGGACGCCTGCCTTCGGCTTTCATGTGTCATACTCCATCGACGCTGGGGCTCTTCGAGCGTTGCTAATACCGTTATCGCTGAGCTCTCCCGCTGTCTCCTGTTCCACCTCCTTCATCTTCATGTCCTCGACCCGTACTTTGCCTCGTCCTTCACCTTTTCCTCTCCGCCTCCTCTTCTCTCTCCTTATCTGTGCGTTCCTCTTTCTCTTCCTGCTTTCCTCGTCGTCGTCGTCGTCGTACTCCTCCTCCTCCTCCTCCTCCTCCTCCTCCTCCTTTCCTCCTGCTCCGCGTCCTCCTCATCCTGCGCCTCCTGCGCCTGTTCCTCTTCTTCCCCGTCCCAGTCGCCCTACTCCTTCTTCTCTGCCTCCTCCTCCTCCTCCTCCTTTTCCTCCTCCTCCTTCTCCTCCTCCTCCTCCTCCTCTTCGTCCTCCTCCTACTCCTCCCCTGTCTCTTCCCCCTTCCTCCTCCTCCTCCTCCTCCTCCTCCTCCTCCTCCTCCTCCTCCAACTCCTCCTCTTCTTTTCTCCGACTCCTCCTCCTCCTGCTCTTCCTCCTCCTCTCCTCCTCCTCTCTTCCTCTTCCTCCCCTTCTTCCTCCTCGTCCACCTCCTCCTGCTCCTCTGCACACCTCCTCTCCTCCTCCTCCTCCTCCTCCTCCTCCTCCTCCTGGTCGTCGCTTCCTCCTCTCCTCCTCCCCTCCTCCTCCCTCCTCCTCCTCTCCTCTCCTCCTCCTCCTCCTCCTCCTCCTCCTCCTCCTCCTCCTCCTCCTCCTCCTCCTCCTCCTCCTCCTCCTCCTCCTCCTCCTCCCCCTGCTTCTCCTTCCCCTCCTCCTCCTCCTCCTCCTCCTCCTCCTCCTCCTCCTCCTCCTCCACCACCTCTTCCTCTTCGTCCTGCTCCTTCTTCCCCCTCCCCCCTCTCCCTCGGCCATCTTCGGGGCAGGGGCGGCGACGGGAGAGGCGGGGGGGGAGGCGAGCCCAGATCTCCGGCATCGCGGATCAGGGCCGCCGACTGGTCGGTCCCGAGCTGTGGCCATCGGATGCTCGCTTCCGGCCCCGGAGCCGTTAAAAATGGAGAGCCCGCAGCGGGAAGCTATGCCCGGGGGCGGGGTCGAGAGTTCCAGGGGCCCGCATCGCAAAACGAATGAAGACGTCGAAGGCCCGGGAGCGCGGCGGGGATCGCCGAGCGCGCCCCTGCAAGACTCCGCCGGAACGCGCTGAAGGAAGAGCGCGGATGAAAAGGAGGAGGAGGCGGCAGAGGAGGCGGAGGGCGGGGGGGAGAAGAAAGGACGCGGAGGGGGGAGGGGGGGTGGAGGAGGCAGAGGAGGCGGAGGAGGACACAGAAGGAACGCGACGGGGGGCAGAGGAGGCTGAGGAGGAGAAGCGGGTGGAGTCGGAGGAGGAGGAGGAGGAGGCCTCTTGGAGCCTTCTTGGGGCCTCTTGCGTGACTCTTGGGCCCTCCTGAGACCCTCTTGGGGCGGAAGCCTGGCATTTTCTGTCCGTGCCCCCCCCTCAAAGGCCACTCTTGGGACCGTCTTGGAGCCCTCTTGGGCCGTTTTGGGCGCCTGTTCCCCCTCCCCCTCCTCCTCCTCCTCCTCTTCCTCCTCCTCCTCCTCCTCCTCCTCCTCCTCCTCCTTCTCCTCCTCCTCCTCCTCCTTCTCCTCCTTTTCTACCCCTTACATGCATGGCGTTTTTCGAGCGTCTCTGAAGCCTGGTAGGGGCTGTTTGGAACGCTCTTGGGGCCGTTTTGGGCGCCTCTCGGCGGCCGTTTTGGAGCGTCTTTTGGGGCCTCTTGGGGGCCTCTTGGAGCCTTCTCGAGGCCTCCTGCGGGCCTCTTGGGCCTTCCTGGGTGCCCACTGGGGCGGAAGCATCGGTCCCTGCCCTCCCCCCTTTGGGGCCCTTCTCGGGACCGTCTCTTCGGGCCCTCTTGGGCCCTCTTGGGCGCTTCTTGGGCCGTCTTGGGGCCCTCTTGGGCCGGCGTGAAGCGGTCTTGGGGGCCTTTTGGGCAGTTTTCGGGCGGTCTTGGGGGCCTCTCGGACCGTCTTGGAGCGTCGTAAATTCGAGCAAGCGGAAAAGACAAAACATTGACAAAACCAACGGACAATCAGCCTATGGGAGCCCTCTTGGGAACGGTCTTGGGGCTCTCTCGGAAGGTATCCAACGCTTCTTGACCCGTCTGGAGGCCATCTTGGGCGCTTGAAATGCATTGTTCGACGGCTCTGGGGCCCTCTTGGGCCTCCTTGCGCCCTCTTGGGGCCTTTTCCGCCCGTTCCGGGGCCGGCCAGGACCTTCACAAAGGGTCTTGGACGCAATCCGGGGCCCCAGTCCTGCCATGGAGGTCGGGGCAACTGTTTTCGGGCTCTGGGCCTGCCCCCCAGAAATCTCTCTCTCTCTCTCTCTCTCCCTGTCTTTTTTTTTGTTCTCTCTCTCTCTCTCTCTCCCTCTCTCTCTATATATATATATATTAACATATATACACATACATCAATCCATCCAGTTATCCATCGATCCATTCAACTTCCCATCCATCCGTGGATATATATATATATATATATATATATATAAAAATATTCTCCTCTTCCTATATTTTTATGAACCTGGGCGGGGGGAAAACCCGTTCCCCCACAAAAAAAACGGACTCCCGGGACCTGGGGCTTTGGGGCCTTCCGAACGGGCCTCGAAGCGGCCACCGGGCCTCGCAAGGCGTTTTGCCAAGCCTTCCCAGCACACTTAGGGCGATCAGGGGGTCATCGGAGACGTCCCAAAGACCCCCAAGACAGCACAAGAGCGCTCCAAGAGTGATCGACGTGACCTCAAGATGGCCCAAGAGGCCTCCAGGACGGCCCCAAAGAGGCCTCCAAGAGCACTCCCAAGAAGGCCCCCCGAGGCAAAAATCATTGATTTTCTGTTGGTTTTTGGTGAATTTGGGGGTTCTCCTCTTTCGGCTTCCCGACGCTCCAAGACGGCGGTCTTCTGGGCGTCCGAAGCCGCCTGGGAGGCTCCCCAATCGCCCCACAACCATCCGAAAGGGCTTCCAGGCAGTCCAAGAGAACCCCAAAACGGCACAACACGGGTCCAAGATGGCGCTCAGAGAGCCCCATGGCGGCCCAAGATGGCCCAAAGACACCCTCCGAAGAATTCCAAATCGTGATTCGGTCGTTCAGGGAGACGGCGGTTGGAGGCAGGGTGGCCCGAGGAAGCCCCCGGAGGCCCCCAGAATACGCCCAGGAGGCCTCCAGAAGGCCTTAAGAAAGCCCGAAACAACTGTTGTGAGGCCCCTAGAGGCTCTCCAAGGAGGAACCTCCGCAAAAAAGAGCTAATGAGGATGGGGAGAATGCGCAGGGTATGGCGAAAATACGGAACAATAAGCATGGAGGAAGGATAACGAATAACATCATTATAGCGGCGATGCCAGAAAAGGCAAACAGGAGTTATCGCTAAATTGTCGGCTTGACTTTCCTGCCATTCCGCCTGCATACCAAACTTCAAGGACCAAGGTGCATGGCTCGAAGCGCCACTGCAGTCTTGTATATATATATATATATATATATATACATACATACATACATACATACATACATGCATGCATGCATACACATACATATATATATATATATATATATATATGCACATATATATATATATATATGTATTACGATATGCACCTGTCTGCACATATGGCCTCGTTGTGCTTAATACGTGTGGGGAGGGTCTGTCTGACTGTGCCGGTGACTCCCTGGGCCCCTTCCCCGCAAGGCCCAGAAGCGTCCCGCGACCGCTGTCATCGGGAAGAAGACGCGGGCCGTGTTTTTCTTGCCGCGCCTGGAGGGCAGGGCAGGGTGGCCAACCCACCGCGGGCCTTGTTGCGCGCAACGGTGATGATGGACTCACTGGACTGCAGCTGCAGCCGCCAGGCGACCTCCTTCACCTGCGCTACCAAGTTTACCACCGCCGTCATGTAGTCCACCTGTCGAGAAGAACGAAAGGGTCGTTGCCGTCGTCGTTGTCGCGATTCGTGCTCCCCTTTTCCTCCTTCTACTTTTTCCTGCTGCTGTCCTTCACTTTCCCATCTCACTCAGCGTCCATATCCCCCTCCTTCTGCAATTACTCAACATGAATGTATCATCCTTTCGGCCGTAGCCCTGTGCGGAAGTTGCTCCGCCCTCTCCGCGTACGGCTTTCTACACGCAGGATTTCAAGTTTTGTGTTGTCCTCGCGTTCCCCAAGCAGCTTCTTGCACTTCAGGTTTCTTACCTTTGTTCTTAAGCACCTGGCCGTGTTATTGGTCTGGCGGCTATGTGGCCGCCGCCGCCGCCCCGTCGCCGCCTCGTCGCCGCCCGTCTTCCGGGCCGTGTTTTCGGGTTGGCGGCTATGTGACCGCCGTCGCCGCCCCGTCGCCGCCCCGTCGCCGCCCCGTCGCCGCCCGTCGCCGCCCGTCGCCGCCCGTCGTCTGGGTCTGATGGCTGGTTTGGCAGCTATGTGGCCGCCGTCGCCGCCCCGTCACCGCCTCGTCGGCGGCACGTCGCAGCCTCGCATACTCGTCCTTCCAAAAAAAACATATTTACCTCCGCCCCCCCGGACTTAACGGTATTTTTTCGTGTTGCAATTCACATACGATCCTGTCCCCTCGTCCATTCCCTATATGAACTCGTACCATCCCAGGCAGGCCGGTATCGGTTCCCCCCTCATCTTTTGGAAGAAAAAACGATGCTCGAGCACATTTATCCAAAAACAGCCATTTTCAATCATTCTTTCCACATCGTGGGACTGATGGCGCACGCGCGCGTTGTCGGGCGCGCATGCCGGAATCCTTCAAAGACCAGAAGTTTCAAAATCGAGCCCCGAAAACATGTTTAAAACACACTGTTTCGCAATATGTGTTTTCCAACAAAGCTTGCGCCCGCGCTCTTGCGAATTCTTAAGCAAACCGTGGTTGATTTTCAACATTTTCGTAACTTGTCCGGCCACTTGCGCGCGCATGTCGAAGTCGTTCGAACGCCCTTGCGCGCGTGCTGTCGCAAGAATGCCTTGCACAAAGCTGGGACGAAGTGCGCGCGCTCGTCGTAGCGCGCTTGCCGAAATCCTGCAACAACATCCTTTGATTTCGTATGGCTTCCATAAACGACTGGCCGCGCCTTCGTCGATGCGAACATCGTCCCCAGCATTGCTACTATCATCATCGCGTCTACCTTAGTCGGCGTTGCCATGATACCGCGCCCGCCCAACGCGCCGACTCGCAGTAAAGTGCCCGCTGGGATGCGCCCACCGGTCAGCGCCACTGCGGTCGCGTCGGTGGCGCCAAACTAGCTGGCCGCTGCGCGCGCGTGCCAGGGATGGCGCGGCCGCAGAGATGCACAAACCAACGCCAAGCATGCATCGCAATCGCCACCGCATAGGTTTTGCAAGGCAAGTTGCGGGCGGGTGGGTGGGATGTTTGCACAAGCGTGATCTGTGTCAACTCATGGGAAAAATCATTCTCCTCCCAGAGCAAGAATTATAATCCCCCCGGGCAGTACCGGTCCACCATTTCATGTTGAAAATTACGCATGGTTCTGCCCCATCGTCCGTCCTAAATACGAATTCGAACAATCCCAACCGAGCCAGTATCGACCACCCCCGCCATCCTCAGCTAACAAAACTATGCGCGCGCACTCGTTGTTCAAAAACCGCAAGTTTTCAATAATCCTGTGCAACACATGGGACGACATGCGCACGCTCGCGTCGTCGCGCGCGCATGCCGAAATCCTTCAAAAACCTGAGGCGTCGGAAAGATTTCGAAACAGAGTGTTCAAACTACATATAACAAATTGTTTCGCAACGAGGATGTTCAAAACACGCGAAAAAACGTGCGCGCGCCTTTGGGATTTCTACATTTTCAAAACATGCGACCAAACGGGTTTCGCGCTCGCGCATGTCGAAATCGTTCGGACGCCCTTGCGCGCGTGCCGTCGCGAGAATACTTTGCAACAAATGCAACGAAGTGTGCGCGCGTCGTTGCGCGCGCATGCCGAAACCCGTCAAAAACCGTTCGGCTTCGTAGCGAATTGCTGTCCACATTGGCACGGTTTCGCAACATCCGTTTTCAACAAAAAAGCTCGCGAGCTCTTTGGTGATCTAGATATAGCCGTAGGTTTTTCAACTTTCCCATGGGCTTCTGCCAAAAAGGCCTCTGGCGCCGCATGCCGACATCATTTGCACGCCCTCGCGCGCGTGCTGGGGAGGCACGGTCCGTGTCAAAACAAACCATGCGGCCACCCTCGCGCGTCGGCCGCGCGCGCATGTCGAACTCTTTTCAAACCCTTCATCACCGACGCGAGGACGCAGTCATCGTCGTCGGCGTGATCGGCATCCGCGCCCGCACTGGCCGCGCCTTCGCCGGTGCGAACATCGTCACCAGCATCGCCACTATCATTATTGCGTCTACCGTAATCGGCGTTGCCATGATACCGCGCCCGCCCAAGCCGCCGACTTGCAGTGAAGTGCCCGCTTGGATGCGCCCAAAGGTGAGCGCCACCGCGGCCGCGTCGGTGGGGCCAAACTAGCTGGCCGCTGCGCGCACGTGCTAGGGATGGCGCGGCCGCAGAGATGCACCAGCCAACGCCAAGCATGCATCGCAATCGCCACCGCATGGGTTTGCAAACCAAGTTGCGGGTGGGTGGGTGGGATGTTTGCAAGAGCATGGGATGTGTCAACTCGTTTGTAAAAAAAAATGCACAACCTAGATCGCACCATATTGCACCACACAGATCGCGCAACATATATTGCAGCACGAATACCGCACCACACATATTGCACCACATAGGCGGCACCAGACATTGCACCACATAGATTGCACAACATACACATATACATACATACATACATACATACATACATACACACACATACATACATACATACACACATACATACATATAGATATATATGTGTGGCACAGCATGGGTTGCACAACACACAATGCACCGCATACATGGCACACCATAGATCGCACCACATGTTTTGCACCACGTAGGTTGCACCGCAGATATTGAACCATTTAGATGCGCCACATGCGTTGCTCCACATACTTTGCACCGCATAAATAGCTAGAAGTACACTGTTGTGGGTCTACGCTGGCTAACATTTCTTTTGCAAGCAATCCGGTCGTTTTTGGTCATTCATAATGGTGCTGCCGCTGCGCTGCAGCATGGGCCTCATTCCCTACCTAGGCTCTGCCTAGAAGGGTTCTTACCGTCTTTACTTAAAGGGGCCGGGCAGTGCAAAACGCCCTGGGCGGTTCCCCCGGCATCCGCCCCGCGGTTCCCCCAGTTGCGCCCCCTGGGTTCACCCAGCTTAGCTTAGCTAAGCTTAGCTTTAGCTTAGCTTTAGCTTAACTTTAGCTTAGCTTTAGCTTAGCTTTAACTTAACTTTAGCTTAGCTTTCGCTTAGCTTTAGCTTAGCTTCGCCTTAACTTTAGCTTAGCTTTAGCTTAGCTCTAGCTTAGCTCTAGCTTAGCTTTAGCTTAGCTCTAGCTTAGCTCTAGCTTAGCTCTAGCTTAGCTCTAGCTTAGCTTTAGCTTAGCTTTAGCTTAGATCTAGCTTAACTTTAGCTTAGCTTTAGCTTAGCTTTAGCTTAGCTTTAGCTTAGCTTAGCTTAGCTTTAGCTTAGCGTTAGCTTAGCTGTAGCTTAGCTGTAGCGTAGCTGTAGCTTAGCTGTAGCTTAGCTGTAGCTTAGCGTAGCTTTAGCTTAGCTTTAGCTTAGCTTTATCTTAGCTTTAGTTCAGCTTTACTGTTACTACTAATGCTGCTTTCCTAGGGGATCCAACTCCTAGGTAGGGTCGCACTGGGAGAAGTTTAGGGTCGGCGATTTGCTTCCGTTGTTAAGAATGGTACTCTCGCCCCAGCTCGGGCCACTTTTCTGGATTCGCATTCTTCCTCATCGTTGTGGCCCCCCTCCTCTCCCTTCCTCCGCTTTCTCCTGGTATTCCTGCTCCTCTCGCTCCTTCCACTCTAACTCCTGCTGCTGCTGCTGTTCGTCCACGTACTCCTCCTTCATCATCTTCCTCCTCCGCCTCCTCCGCCCTTTCCGACCGCTCATCCGCAATGTCCTCTTCGATGTACGCAGTTCCCCCTTTTTTCCCCGATTGCGCATGCCACGATACGGGTCCTTTTGAAATTCCAGGTCCGCTATGGCACGCGCCAGCGGATAGGGAAACTCACCGTACTGGGAGGGGGTGGATGGGATGGGCAGGCCGTCCGAATGGGGCGAGCATGCCTCGATTGCCTCCCCCCTCCCTCTCCCTCCCCCCTCCCCATGCGATCGCGGCGGGGGAGTGGGGGTGGGGGGGGGGCGCGAGAAGGGGGGGCAGCAGGAACAGGAGGGGGACCCAGCGTGCTCCTTGGAGAGGGGGACCCGGCGTGCTCCTTGGAGAATGGGGGCGGGGGGAGTGGGACAAGGAGAACGCAGACGGTAGACAATGCAGTCAAAACTGGTACTAAGGATGCGCGATGCAGTGGGGGCATTGGACAAGGGACCCTTAGATAAGGAATACAGGGTCTGGTAGCTGGTGAAACTCCGATCGTGGATCGGCCATGGGCATCACCGACGCCACCATCATATAAGGGACCATCCAGGGTCTGCAGCCTCCTGGGCACTTTCCTCAACAAACGCTCCCACCGTAAAGATACAAGCGCCTTGGACGCCCATGTTGAAGCTTTTTCGGGCGCGGCTGGCCATTGAAAGTAGTCAATGATGGACCGAAGAGGCACGGATACAAAGATACCCTTGGGAAGGTTGCCCATCCTTACCATCGGTTTCGACTGTAGACGGTAAACCAACGCGCGCCGGAGCGCGTCCTACGCGGGGTGCCGGAGCGCTGATGCGCGCAAGATTCTGCAGCTATCACCCAGTGTTGTTGCATGCGGTTCAGTGGCCGCCCAAGCGCCCTTGCCAGGCGCCCGTCTGTCGTCCAGTTGAGCACTCCCTTCGACCGCTTGCCATCGGCGGGTGTTGTGCAGCGAAGTGTCTTCGCGATGCTGTTGTTGCACACAAGTATGAAGCCTGCCTTCCCGTATTCTCCCACTGCTTTGCGGCTTACACGGAAGATCAAACCCACGCACGGCTCTTCCCCCCCGTCAGTAGAGGCTGCTCTCATCGGTGAAGCTGTCATTGTCGTCTACTTGCCGCTCCAATTCAAAGCAGCCGATGACACCACAGCGCCGAACAGGCGAAGCAAGGACCGCAAACCATAATTCTTTTACCAGGCACTGCCTTGCATTTACTAATGTTCCACAGTTTGCGCCCGAGGTAAGAAAAGCTCCCGTGCATAGGGAGCACCTTAAGCTGTCAGCCCCATTTGGACGTGAGTTGCGGAAGGACTCCTGATCAATCTGCACATTTGAAGAATCATGCGCTCCCCATGTGTAGCTTTAAAACAACTCTTCCACCGCGCAACGAACGCCCTCTCGACGACACGACAAAGGGCGGCTTCGGGTAACGGTTTGAGCAAAAATGGCCTCCCCTCCTCCTCCTCCTCCTTCTCCTCCTCCTCCTCCTCTTCTTCCTCCTCCTCCTCCTCCCCCTGGGTGGGGGGGCGCCAATGGCATTGTCGCTGTGCTGTTGACAGCCCCGTATGCGCGCGATCCACCGTGACGAACCCGCCGTACGCGGGCGTGGCCACGAAGACCTTTCGCGAGCACGCGTCCCCCACTCAAGGGCCAGGGGGGCCAGGAACAATCGGACACATACGGCATTCCCAAGGGGGTTGTGCAACCCAAGGATCGAGAGGTTATCAGCTCGCACCCGGCGGGAAATAGCGGAGGGTCCACGAAAGCTGGCGGAAGTAAACGTCTTTGCCGCCAGCAGCCGGTGGAAATGAAACGCGGTCTTCCACGAGAGGTCACAGTGGCGTGCACAGAAAAGGCGCTGGAACTGGCCACACCCCCCAATCAAGCAGCAAACATTGATGCCACATGTTTCACACTGCGCGCTAAGCACACTGACTGGGACATCCTCCAGAACGTTTGGGAACAACCAGGGCATGAAGGAAAACTGGCAAATCAAGTAGAGAGCGAAGAACTGAAGGCACATTTGCGTTCGTAGGATAGATGTGGTAGTGTGAAACATGGACGGCGATGTCAACAAGTCGAGATTGAGGTATCCAGTGTGGAAAATCGAAAATTCATGGGAGGGTGGACCTGGTTGTGGAGAGCAGAAAATGATGTATAGACAGAGAGAGAGAGAGTAGAATTTGTAGAGACTTGACGGAGGCAATGAAGAATTTGTAATCGATCCCATGTGTTGGAGGGTAAAGAACCATTCGGCTCATCTAGAACGTGAACAAATGATCAAAACCGAACGACCCTGCGGGCACCGTCCACTTCCAACCACCCCTCTATTCGACACTGGCATAGCTTGCTCGAGGGACTGGCGCGCGTTCTAACACATCGAAAAGGAAAACGCTCGCGCACGGTCCTGCTTCCAACGACTTTGCGATGGGAGTACACGGACCGCGCGATCGGACCTTCCGCAACATCTTTGCGCGCCGCTGCGGCGAGGGCGCCATTTAGCTTTCAGTCGGGCATGTCCTCCTACAGGGGGATTTTACGGGGGGACAAATCTTAAAAGTCACACGCACAAATATATGTATGTGTGTATATATATATATATAGACATAATCAAATCATGAAAGAAAATCGTCCCCCGACTGTGTTTTTGCCTATTTTTGAACATTCCTCCTGTCGAGGGACACGCCCGACTTCAATGTATAGCGCAGCCTGATGTCCGATGGGCGCGGCGCAGCATCACCCTGCGCCTCGCCGAAGCAGCGCTGCCACCTCCGCGACAAAACCTGCGCGGCGCTTGGGCGAGAACAGTACGTCGCCCGCTGTCGCGCGGCCCCGCTGCTGCTGTCCCAGAGGCGACGATAGGGGCGAATAGCCCAGGGGAGAGCAATGCATGTATTCAGGTGCGCCGATAATCAATGTCTTCGAAAAGGCTCCCGGGCGAATGCTTGTAATGCCCGCCCCTGGGCTATTCGCCCCTATCTTCGCCGCCGGCTGTCGATGTCCCGCGACTCGGCGAGCGAAAAACATGCGCCGCGCCACAGCGGGAACGCCAGCTTTCTGTCGGGCACGTCCTCCTACAGGCGGATCTTGAAGGAAAACTACAAGATAGTCAACAAGTGCCCTCTAAATAATAGGAATGGTCTAAACATCGTCCCTGGACTTTTTTTCTCTATTAGTATTTTTTATGATGCCGATATGCCCGGATTGACGCCAATTCCAGGCGAACTATGCACTGGGATCGGGCGAGGACGATAATTCACTCGCTCGCGCGCGGACCTGCTCCCAACGATTTGGGGGGCAACACTTATGCGCAGCGCCCGAAATGGGAGCGCCAATTTCAAGGGGGTTCTGCGCGGCGCCACTGCGAGAGCAACACTTCGCCCGCTCGCCCGCGACCCCATTGTCGACGAATTGGCGAGCGAAGAACGGAATCTCCACTCTTTAGAGAATTATAGCGGCGCCGAGGCGAGGCCGACATTTCGCCCTTTCGCGCGATGTGCGCCGCGTCCAATTCCTGTCCCGCCTTTTGCAACGTCGACGACAAAACGTCGATGCTGAAAAGGAACAGTTGATTTTGTGTTTCCCTATACGAATATAGGATGAAGCTCTCCGGATGGAATGCCCATCGGCCGGCTATTTGGCAGAGTGCGAGTATAGAGTGATACAGAATAATGAAAAAGAGTCTAGTAGAGCGTGCAGACGATGGGGACTAAGAGAGAGCACGGTATGGAATGACCCCGGCGTGGGTCTGCTGAGCCCGTGACGTGGGCCAACTTACTGACTGACCCGGAGCACATCACTGATCGGCTGACCTGGTTGACTTAGTGACCCTGCGACCCAATGGTGCGGGTCAGCTCACAAGAGCCTGGTGTCCCAGTGGCGTTGGTTAGCTGACCTGGTGACCCAATGGTGTGGGCCAGCTGACCGGCGTATCCAGCACGCGTGGCTGCAAATCTTTCGACGTACGATTTGTTCACACATGCACTGGGCACGTGTCTTTTCCCGGGGGGGCTCCGGCCCAACATTCTGGTGAGCAACTGACGCCAAATCCGACGGCGCTTTCTTCACACGTGAGACTGGGAAACCAAACGATGCCGATACCGCGAATTCCTGGACCTCTCCCGGAGTGCGGTCTGACCGCAGCTTCGGGGCGAAGCCAATCGTGGCGACGAGGCCCTCCCCCCCAGGAGGCCCAAAAAGAAGAGAACGAGACGAGGGTAGCGGTGTCGGTAGCCCTTCCTTCCCGGGTGCAGCCATCGTGCTACCGAGAGGAACGCTGGAACAGTAACGACGGGGCTTTCCTGGGCACGTCCAGCCTCTGCTACGAATAGGCTCTACGACCTAGATTGTAAGGTACGGCCCGAAAACCAGAGCGCCTCAAGAGCCCCAAACCATGTTTTTTGTTTTCAGTGCCTAGACTGCACATCTACGTGTACGACCACCCTTCGGGTGATGAGGAGGTTTGGGGGGTCACGCAGCTGATGACAACTGCGAGGATTGTGCTTGGGACGATGCTGGTGACGCGGTCACGAGTTGGCGACGATGCGCGATGACTATGATGTCGGCGCGCCACCCTTGCAGACGTGCTGCAGCAATTTGTTGCGTGGATTTCTGACAATGCAAATCCCCGAAACGGCGAGTGAAAATCGAAGTGAGCTTCCTGCGGATATAATATTTGCATGTATGTGTATATATATATATATATAACTTCACTCCTGGCCAAAAAATCCGGACGAAATGCACCTCGCAATCAGGAACGACATTCTCCAGGACACTCCAGGCCCATCCTATCGTTTTCCGAATTAAGTCCGCTCTGCGAAGTTGGCGCCCTGAACGGTGCTGGTGATGCGGTCACGAGTTGGCGACGACGCGCGATGACGATGATGGTGAGAATGCGCGACAGCGGCTGTAACGTACGTGCGCGCGTGTGGCGGGCGGGCATTCGGCACGTACTTTCGCGTGCGTGGGCCCCCAGACGGGGGACATCCAGCATGCCGCGCGCGGCCCGCCGTGTTGCGCAACCGCGCGCCGCAGGCAGGGCGAGCAGCGCCGCCGCCTCCGCTGCGGTCGCGTATAGCTGGTTGCCGTCGTCGCCGCCTTCCTGCGCCGTCCGTCGGTCGCCTCCGCCGTGGAGCCCTTCCAGAGGAGGGGGAGGAGAAGGAGGAGGAGGAGGAGGAGGAGGAGGAGGAGGAGGAGGAGGAGGAGGAGGAAGAGGAGGAGGAGGAGGAGGAGACCAGCGCATGATCTGTCTGTCCCGACGCCCGCCTACGCGAGCGGGGGCGGGGCCTCGGAGCCTGGCGGGTGCGCTGCCAAGGAAGACGGAGCGGCGGCCGAAGGGCGCCGAGTCGAAGATCGGGCAACCATATTGTTATTCAGAGGGCGGTGGAGGGAGCAGCAGCGGCAGGAGGCTCAGCAGACGAGAGGGACCCAATAAAGGACGGCAGAACTTGGGAAAGGAGAAAAAAGAGAGGTGCCGGAGGGAAGCGAAATCCAGCGGGGCATTCTGAGCGAAAGCCAGGGTTCGGCGGTGGCGGGGGTGGTCACCAGGAGAAGAGGGCAGATCTGATGACAGCGAGCAAGGCCAGGGCCAGACAGGAGCACGCTGTTCCGCCCTCACAGGCTCTGACGAACACGGGGGCGGCGGAGTAGCTCTCTGTGGCGCTGAAGCCGTTGACATTCTCTCCAATGTCGCTGCACCCTGCATGTCCTCCGCAGGGATCACGTCAGCGTCGCTCATCGGTGGAGTAGCAATCACAGTCGAGGCCGTCTCCGCGTCAGAAGAAGAGGACGCCGCAGGAGTGAGCCGTGGCCCAGTCACTGTGGTCGAACGCCCAGTGGAAGAGGCAGAAGCCGACGATGAAGCACCCGAAGACGCCGAGGAGGACGACCGCATACCTCTGCCTCCACGCCAGTCCCGCTTGTCGAGGCGGACCTTCTCCGCATCGGAAAGCACAGAGGGTCGTGCCATCATCGTCGATCGCACTCCAGCGAGCGCGCATGACTCGCGCTGAGAGGTGTCCAACGGCCAGTCTGGTATCAGCCTCGTCTGGTTGTGCATCGCGTAAGCTGCCGCCAGGAATGCGTAGTCCTTAACGCGAGGCGCCCAGATACCCCGGAAACGCAGCACAGGAGCAGGAAAGGGCCGAGCAAGAGCACGGCGCAGGGCCGCATGCATAGGTCTGCATCTGGCGCAATGAGCTAAAGAGTCCCGATCATCACATCCATACGCACACCGCCGTTGCCCCAATGGGTGAAGTATACAAGCCGAAGTCATCCATGCATCCGTCCATGCACGCAGAGTCGCCCACGCCCAAGAACACGGGCAGCGACGGAGTAACGCCATGATGAGGTCCCAATCCACCCGCTCCAGCATCTGTGCGTGCCTCGGTAGCAGCTTGACCAGGCGAGCTGTGATGAGCCGAAACAAAAGCGATGAACGGTGAGCAGCAGCACGAAGGGCACGATGGGCAGCTCGCTGCGGTCGCGGGCGACGGTCCACCACCTCGCAAATCTCCGCCTGCGCAGCAGCGACGGCTGTCGGCGTCAACGAAGCTAATGGCCCACGCAGGCGACCAGACACGGTAGCCTCGAGCGTCTCCGCAAACGAGATCGAGCGCCAGAAGTTCGGGCACGGCCGGTCGCTCGCCAGCATACATAGGGTACGCCAAGAGTCGTTCAGCTGTACATGTGCTCTCATCTGGGCCAGTACTCGGGTATAACCAGGAAACGTGACAAGTGCAGAACGAGCGAGAGTAGCGATGCCCAAGTGTCCCCCTCGGAACACCCGAGGACCCCCTCAGGCTTCAACTTGCGTCCGGGACGCCAGCGGGAAGGCACCCAGAGGTACGCGAAAGACTTGCGCAAGTACAGTGAACTCCGCCTTCAGCACCTGCTGCGGCATGGCACAGAACTGCCCGACATAAGACAGTGTTGCCACGGCTCTCGTGTTGTAGAGGACCGCGGAGACGCTCGTGGGCGTCGCGCCTCGACCGCTAGCTTGAGCCCGTAAACGGAGCTTCGCCGACGGATCACACCAAGAGCGGAACGTGTCGGCCCCAGGACCAAGCCATAAGCCCAAGTACAAGATAACTTCCAGCACTTCGAAGGCAGCCCATGCCGGTGCGATTTCGAGGATCGCGGCGCTGACCGAGGAAGCCAAACTATTTGAAAACCGAGCAGAAAGCGGAACCAGTTTACACTTGGCGACCTTAAGACAGAGATTCGCATACTTCTCAGCCAACCCCATAATGTGATATAATACCCGCAAGTCAGAAATATCCCGAAGAGCTCCACCAACGTCATCAGCACAGGCCCGAACATGGCCTCAACCGCGCAGCTCAATCGAGGCCGCAATGTCGTACAAGAACGATGAGGCCCCAAGAGCGTACAAGGAGCCCGAGAGGCCATCTCCCTGAATAATACCACTGCGAACCCAGAACAGAGTCACTAAGGTCCCTTGTATCGACGCCACGCCCTCTATCGCCGCGCACAGAAAGCCCACGAACGCCAGGAGAAACTCTGGGAGCTGGAGACAGGCTAACACGTGCATCATATACTCCTGGTTGAGCGATGGGAAGGCCTGGCCAAAGTCCACGGGGAACAACGGGGGGATGTCCAGGGAGCCTGGCTCACGAACAGACAGCTGGCGCGCGTGCCCATCGATCTCGATAATGTTCAGCCCAAAACTTCGATTCGGAACGAACCCGCGTTGATTGGACGGCACAACTACACCTGGCACAAGCCGAATCGCTCGGTTCATAACCGCCGATAGGAGCTTCACATTCGCGTTGCGAAGACCCAGGGCCCGAACTTTATCAGGAGAGCGAGCGCAATCCCCGTCCCGAAGTTCAGCTTCAGGGGCTTTAGGAAGGAACGCCTGGAGGGCAGTGCTAGCGGAGTCGAACAGGGCCTGGCCAAATCCTATCCACCCCAACGCTCGCCACAAACTCGTCTCGCCAAACGGGTCCGCACTCCAGGCCGCATACGGTAGTCCATCGATCCCCGTGGCAGAGTCCTTGGCAAGGCGCACGGCATGGCGGAGCATGCAAAGTGAAGGAGGCGGCAGGTGCAACGGCGAGACCGATGGCAGCCACTCGGCAGAATACTGAGCAGCACCTTCCTCATCCCAGGGCTTCTTCGAGAAGACTGGCCTCCAATAGTCACTTAGGGCCTTGGCGCGCTCCGCTGGGCCCGAACGCGTAACTCCAGGAGAAACGTGAACGACAGCAAGTGTACTACGCCTACCAATCGGGGGCCAGATCCTAGCCTTGCGCTCAAGAACTTTGGCCTGCGTGCGATGGCGGTGCGAATCGCCCTCGCGTGCTCGTCGACCCTCTAACCCCGCCCCTGTGAAGCTCAAGGACATCCCGCTGGGCCTTCGCAGACCATTCCTGAAAGGACGGTGAGTGGCGAAGTCGGACCTCGGACTCGCATCTCCACGTGGCCTTCGACATCGGGGTGGGATTCCAGCATCCGTTGAGCGAGCCTCTGATCGTGGCGCCAGGCAACTCGAGCTATCATTCGCGCAACCTGCAGCAGAGTCCTGGGATGAGTGGGTTTCGATTTGAACAACAGATCGCGTGTCTCGGCACCAGCAACCCCCATCAACTCTTTATAGAACTCGAGCTGGAACGGTGGCGAAATCAGCTCCCATTTCGTGGTCTCCACGAGGCCTCTCAATCGTGCGCGGTACGCTGGACCTGGGCAAATATGCTTAGGGAGAGGGCGTTGAGACGGTGGCCGGGCACAGCGAGAAGCAAGAGAGACAACCAACCGCAGCGACATGGTCAGGAATTTATCTGCCCGATACTTCTTCGGCCAGTCCCACCGTCGACGCCAGCAACTGGAGCTGGCATGCCTGCCAGCCCGCAGGCGAGCAGAAAAAGCGGTCGATCGCCGCCGCTGCCCCCCTGCCGCGCTCGAAATGCGTCGGCTCGCCCCCCTCGACCTCGAGCATTCGCCCAAGGACGTCGCGCCACCGAGCAGCGCGGGCATGGTGACGTCGAGCACTCCGACGAACTGCAACTTCAGGCGCACCAGCGATCAAGGACTCGTCCACCGAGAAGTTGAGGTCGCCATTCGCAACCGCAAAGTGCTTGTCAGGCGAGTCGGCCGCGATCGCCAGCTACCGCAAGATGGCCTTACTCACGTCGGGCACCTCCTGCACGGTCAGCTCGCGGTTGTGTGCATTGAAGACTGCGAGGGACGACCGTGCAGAATGCAGCGAAACTTGAAGGACCCGCCCAGGTACAAGAGCCACCTTTTCCACGCGCACAGGTTCCCCAGCTACCAGAGCAAGCTTAGGAAGCAACCCCACCTCGGATACGCCTAGCACGGTCTTCTCCACAGAAGCTGGTGACCAGCGCCCCGCTGGGGTTCACGTAGTTCACGAAGGCGCGAAGATGATGTTCATCTTGATGCCCTTCTTGAAGATATATCCCGGTCACTCCGGCGGATACGAGCTAAGTAGTCTCGCTTCAGGCTCGCCTTCTCCCCGGCAGCCTGCAACAAAGCTCGAGCGTTCCACGTCGCAAACCGTAGAGCGCCAGGAGGAGCTCCCTGCCGCGGACGGCAGTGCAGGAGGAGCGAACACGTGCTAAATGCACCAGCTCGACTCGGGTGGGCCCTGGGCGAAGTCCTGGGCGGCGCGCGCCACGGCCTCCTTGGACAGCCCATGCTTCTGAAGCGCCTCCTCATTCCACCATGGCGCCGGCGGCGTCTCACGGCCGGCTGCAACGCGAACTTGAAGAATTTTGTCCCGTTTGATGGACAGCACCCCCAAGCCCTTGTCCATGAAGATACGGTTGGCGTCACCGCACTCAGCCCACATGGCATCGCGGCACCGCCGCAGGGGCATCTCTGTCTTGATCTGCTTCGGGTTCTTGTCTGGCCCCATGTGCACGCTGGTACGGGTCGCGGAGCCAGGGACGTCGCACGAGGACGACTTCCAGGCGTGGCCGTCCTTGAGCCCGCCCAAAGCGCGGGCGACCTGCCTGGCAGCAGGCTGAGGCAGGCCAGTGAAGCGGAGCGCGAAGCGCTTCGACGGCTCCTGACCCTGGGTCTCGATCTTGTACTCGGCGCTCTCGAAGCCCAGCTCGGCCATGTACTTGTCGAGGCACTCTGTGATCGCAGCGAGCGAGGTGGGGCGCTGGGTGACGGCGACCAGCAGCGTGGGGCCGACCTCCCTCGAGAAGCCCGCAGGTGGCTGAACAGACGTTGGTTGACGTTCCTCTGCCACGGCCAACAGCTTCCTGAACGCTTCCATCTCACGTTTGAGCATGGCGATCTCCCCGTCTGTCGAGTCGGCTCGCTGCTCCAAAAAGGTGACTTTCGCATTCGTCTGGTCCAGCTGGGCCTGCATGCGGCGGTGGAGCGCGTCAATCTGCGGTCGCACAGCCTTCTGCACCTGCTGGTCGTCGCTGGTTTGGTCGGCCACCTCCTTCCGAAGCAGGTCGATGGCAGACAGCAGGTTCAGGTGATTCGAAGCGACCGTCTTGCCCACTGAGGTACTGATGTCGGTGGTGAGGTACTCCCGCATGTTTGCAAGCCCGGCGTGGCACAATTCCCGCAGATACTCCAAAGGATAAGAATCATCATCGTCATCCAGCTCATCCCCTTGACCTCCTTCCGTCGCGCGGCGCTTGCGTCCCCCGAAGCCCTTGCCCTTTCCGTTGGCGGCTTTGGCGGGCATCTCCTGGGAGGGGAAGGTCGGGGCCTCCTCCATTGCAGCAGCCACATCGCGCATGTCCTGCGACGAGAGAGCTCCCACATTGGCCGTCATCCACAAGTGCGGCCGAAGAGAAGCACTGAAGATGAGATGGCTCCACCACGAGCTCACTGAATCAAAAAAGCCTGCCCACAGGCCCCTGGGACGCGGGCCGAACCTGCGGACAGGCTCGCGCTGACCTGGCCAGCTGCCTCGACTTATGGCAACTTGAGCCAAAATGGCTTGAGCCAAAATGGCTACGGAAGGAGGAGGAGGAGGAGGAGGAGGAGGAGGAGGAGGAGGAGGGAGAGGAGGAGGGAGAGGAGGAGAGGAAGGAGGGGGAGGAGGAGGGCACGAAGCTCGGCGGGCAGTTCGATCTGCAGCCTCGCCTATGCTTGCATGCGATGCAGCGCGGCCAGTCTCACACCAGCCCGCTGGTCAGCTCCAGCGTCCAGGCCCACGTCCATGCGGTGCTTCTGGATGTGGTAGCACTGGCACATGAGGCCGACCGCGTAGATGCACTCCGTGATGGGACGCTTCGCGTGGTACTGCTCGTCGCCGAAGCCGAGGAGCTCGGGGCCGTTGCCCAGGGAGTCCGCACCCGCGTCGCCCGCAGTCATCGCCCTGAGGATCGGGCAGGCGATGTAGTGCTCGAGCGCGTCCTCCTCGTCGCAGCCGAAGAGGCAAGGGCGCGCGTCGATGACGGCGCTCATGCGACGCGATGTCGTCCAGCCGTTGACCGCGGCGCGCATCCACGACCACATCCAAGCAGGGCGGACCTCCGTCAGCTTGCTACGCAGCGGAGGCCACCTCTCGCGCAGCACGGGCAGAGAGCACTCGACACCCCACCTGCGCAGCCGCCGGTGGATGGTGGCCACCAGGTCCTCGGGGTACAGCAAGCCACGGAGCGAAGCAGCGGCCGTGGCCTGGCGCTTGGGCTTCCTGGAGGGAGTGGCCGCTGCCGCCGTCTTCGTCTCCAGGGTCATCGCCGACTTCGCGATCTTGAGGTACCTGCTCGGGATCGGGACCGAGAGCACGTCGAGCGTCGGTCTTGGTATGTCCAGCTGGCCGTAGGCGTCCGAGATCATGGCGTAGTTCTGCACGATCGCCCTCCGCGCCCGCCACCACGGCGGAGACCAGTTGCCCTTGATCACATCAATCAGTGGGACATGCTCCACGGCAGCTTCATGAAGGTGGTGAAAGTGGGCTTCCCATCCGCGCACCGTGTTCTCCGCCGAGCGCATCATCGCCGCGAGCGTGTAAGGGAAGAGGCCAATCGGCGACGGGGGGGCCGCACCACGCGCTCATCGACAGGATGTCAGCCTTGCGCATGGACGAGGGTGGCAGCCTCAGCAGGCGGTGCAGGGAGGTGAACTCGACCTTCCATATGGCAGGCACGATGAAGTAGAACTGCGCGAGGTACGACAGGCACGGCAGCGCGTTGATGTTGTACGCGCGGGCCGCGAGGCTGGTGGCCATGCCAGTACGCGCCAGCTCCCAGCAGCGGGTCCACCATTTCCCCGCAGCGGCCTTCCAGATGCCGAAGTCCGTGACGCCTGGGCCCAGGTGAGTCCCCAGGTACTTGGCCGTGGAGTCGACGCGGAAGCCCAGCCAGCGGGGGACCTCCTTGGCGAGGAAAGACTTAACGTTCAGCAGTGTGTTCTCCGTTAGCTCCTCCCACCGCGGGACCAGCACGCACTTGTGCAAGGCCAACTGCAGGTTGAAGGCAAGCTCTATAGAGACGAAGGTGTAGTCTATGCTAGGGAGGGCAACAGCGTTCTTGATCAGCATCCCGAGATCGTCGGCGCAAGCCGTGAGGACTCCATGCTCAGCAATCGCAGCCGGCAGCGCGCGGATGGGCGCATCCATGGCCAAGCACCAGACCGTGCCAGAGAGCGGGCATCCTTGCATGATGCCGCACAGGAGCGCGAACAGCGGCTCGAGCTCCGCGCTGGTGCCCTCGGCGCGGAAGGAGCTGAAGGCGAGGCAGTTGCTGTAGAGCGCCGCGATCACGTTGCGGAAGCCCAGCGGGACCCCGAAGCGCGGGACGACCTTCTCGATGACTTCCCTGAAGAGCGAGGGGAAGGCCTGGCGGAAGTCGAACGACAGGAACATGGGGCGGCGGTTCGCCGCGTCAGGAAGAAGGCCCTCCCTACGGCATTCCGCGTCCAAGTACGGGATGTGGTCGACGAAGCGCCGCCCAGCAGTGAAGCCCTTCTGCTCGGGTGAGGTAGATGATGTGGCGATGGGCTGGAGCCCTCGATCTGCACAGGCCGCAATCAGCTTGGCGTCGCAGTTCTTCAAGGAGAGGGTGCGCACCGTGGAGGCCGTGCGCGTGCATGAGTCGGGGACGTCGTCCTCCTCCGAGCCCTTCGGCACACAGATGAAGATCGACCAGTTGAGGTCGAGCGGGGCCACGCCGTCGTTGAAGAGGACTTCCATGAGTCCCTGGAGGTGCTGCAAGGCTCCAGGGCTGCGGCGCCATGCTGCGTACGTCAGCTGATCTGGTCCCGCAGCGCTCGGCGGGGCCCTGCTGGCCGCACGTACCAGGTCGTGTAGAGCAGGTTGAGGTAGTTCCACCGTAGGGTTCCTTGGTGCGTGCTTGTCCAGGAAGGCGTCCAACGCCTTGAGCTGTTCAGAATTCGGCACCTTCGCGAAGATCTCACCCCAGTAGTTCGCCACAGTCGCCTTCATGCCCGCGGGGTCGGAGACCACGTGCTGAGCCACCTGCGTGTCCTTGGCGGCACACGGTGCGGAATCCACGCGCAAGCCCGAGAGGATCATGCGGCGCCGCCACGGGACCCAGAGCTGTGCATGTCTGGCGGCCTTGCGTTCAACCCTCCGCCAGGCTGCGCTGTCGCGCACGTTGGCCGTCCGAGCTGCTGCCTCCGCCGCCTGCCTGCGCAGGGAGTGCACCCGCTCGGCGATGGCGTCGAAGTTGGTGGCAAAGCTGTGGGGGTCCACGAGGCGCACGGAGCCGTCGGTAATGTGGAGGTGGGCGGCCAGCGCAGGGCAGGAGTCGAGAAGCCTACCTGCCAGGACAACGTCCTGTCGCCAGACTGCTCGCGCCGCCGATTTGAAACCCATGTACGAGGTCTCGACCGTGGAGTCCTTGACGTGAAGGGAGAAGTTGGACCGCAGCTGTTCATCACGAACCCGTCGCGCAGCAAGCTTCATGCACTGCTTCGCTGCTCTCCAGCGGCCTTCCGCCGTTTCCCCAGCCAGGGCGCAGTGGTCCAGCATGAGCGTGTAGGTCTCGGGGTACTTCCTGTGGTTGAAGAGGTGCGACGGGATTGGCTGCTCGTCTCGTGGGACATGGCGTGCGGCAGTGATCTGCAAGACGGGGGGCGCGTGGTCGCTGATGCCCGCCTCGGAAAGCTCCATCGCGTCCCTCGCCGTGGTAAGGATCGTCGAGACCGAGAGCATGGCGTGCGCGTCGATGCCCAAGAAGATGCGGTCAATCGTGGACAGCTGCTTGCAGGACTTGTCGTAGTGGGTCGGCCATTGAGACTCAACCTCCATGGCTGCAGCGAATAGACGGCGCCACGCCGGTTGCCGAAGTTGGCAGCGGTGATCAGGTCGGAGGCGCCAAGCCGTAGAGTCTGAGGGTGCTCGTTGACTGACTGGCGGGCGGGAAGCTATGTTGAAGTCACCGACGCCCAGGAAGATGCGGTGTAACGAGTCTCGGCGCGCCCACGCCAGGCCACTGGACCAAGTGCGCTGTACTGCAGTGAACTCGTGCGGCTTGAGGTCGTAGTTGTGGATGTTGAAGATCTGCATGCTGTACTTGCCCGTGCTGTCGGTGATCGTGAGGAGCGCCGCGCGGCCGACCGCCACTGTGTCGAAGCGGTAGGACGGCCGAGCAGGTGTGGAGTTTCGTGAACTTGACCAGGTGTTGTTCGGTAGTGACGTGGAAGTCGTGGGGGAACGTCGTGTACTTGACCAGGTGTCGGAGCAACTTGCTGTCGTCGGAGAAGAGGAGGTTCGTGAACTTGACCAGGTGTCTTGAGTCGGTAAGGATGCAGCAGGGGGCGAGGCGTACTCAGGAGGCCCCACCCGTCTCGCCACGCCCCCGCTTCCCAGAGATTCGGCTCTGGGTCCATCCGCCCTTGGACTTTCATCGACGTATCGAGGGACGAGAAAGGCGACTCCGCCCGCGGCAGCGGAAGGGCCAGGCGAGAGGAAGCTCAAGTACTTCTGCGGCTGCGACTGGAGGAAGATCCTGAGGGCGCCCTCGGAGCCGTGGACCTCCTGCACGGCGATGATGGCGTTGACCTTCATGTATGTGGCGAGCAGTGCCAACTTGCGTCTGCGCAGCCTCGCGTCCGAGTGGAGCAGGCCACGGGCATTCCACACGACCAGGTGAAGTCCACGGAAGCCATGCCGATCGCCAGGAGGACGCCATGGCGCCCACAGTGGGGTGCTAAATCCACTCGGTGTTGTCCTCCGTGGAGAAGGCCTTCTTGAACTGCGTGTTGATGGACTCCCTGTCGATGTGCAGCCTGGCGACCATGTCTGGGTTCCGCCTGATGATAGTGTCGGTGTAGCGGGATTCGCCCATCTCGAGCTTGGCAACCTTGACGCCCTGGGAGGTGACGATGCCACGGGCCCGCTGAGCACTGAAAGACAGATCAGGATGAGCTTCTGCCAGCAGAGCCGAGAGCCTCCTCGACTGAATCTCCATCCGAACTTGCTGCGGAGACTTGTCGGGCGAGGGGTACAGCGGGACGGCGCCACCGCCGACGCTCTGGGCGCTGAAGGAGCGCCATCCGTTCCTGCCAGCTGGGTCACGTAGCTGCCGTGCAAGTGCTTGGGCCCGAGGGAGAGCGACACCGTCGCCGCCCTGCGCCAAGACGTTGAAGCGCTTGGAGGGGACCGCAGGGTCGATGCGGACCATGTCGTTGGTGAGGCCAGCCGCGCGAATCCACTCCTCCAATCCTTGCAGAGCTTGGGCGGGTCCAACCAACTGCGGCGCTCCAATCGAGAAGATCCGCGGGTTGGGTTGACGAGACCACGCCTCCAGCTCTTGAAAGTCCATGATGGGCAGCTCCTTCTCGGCGAGGGCCAGGGCCTTGTTGATGTCGCCGATCTGCTTGCGCATGGCAGCCTGCTCCGCCTCCAGGGCGTCGGCGCGCTGACCGATGGCTGCGATGTCGCGCGTCTGCACGGCGAGGGACCTGTTGACAGCCTCCTGCTGGGTCTGAAACATGCGCACCAGCTGCGTCTGGCAGGAAGTGACCTGGGCCATGGAGGTCGCGGCTATGGCGTCGGTGGCCTGGCGAATGCAGCTCTGCAGCATGGCCTGCATGTCCATGCCGCCAGCGTCCACAGGAGTGGCCATCCCACCGATGGGAGTGCCAGCAGCAGGAGGTTCAGAGTGTCCGTCAGCGGGGGCAGCACGATCAAGCCAAGGGTCCCCACCAGGGCGTTGCCACGGGTCAGGATGAGCATGCTGAGGTCCAGCTTGCGGGTTGCCAGCGGGCGCCTGCTCCACCTGCATGGCCTGACGCTCCTGCGAGGGGAAGGTGGCCGCCGCCTCGAAAGCAGCCGCGAGCTCATCCTGGGCGGCGCGATCGAGTCCTCCAGGTCCATGGCGCGCACGATCACTGGCTGGCGAACCCGAGGCATCCGCTTCGCCGTCGGAGCGTGGGTGGCCCCGCCGAGCCCGACGCCGCGCAGGGGCCCGCTCGTTCGTGCTGCGGGAGGCCGACCGCAGGTCCTCGGCAGGGGGCTGCTCCTTGCCTTTGTCGCCGCGCCTCCGCCCGTCAGCAGCACCAGGACCACGGTGGCCACCACCAGCACGCCCCGCCCTGCGCCGCTCCTCCTCGGCCGCCATGCACTGCGATGGAGAGCCCTCGCGGGCACAAAACTGTGGGTCCACGCGGACCAGTCTTCGGCGGCAGCTCGCCCTGGGTGTGGCTGCAAAGGAATCCCCACTCCTGGCCGCGGCACAGCGGTATCCATTTGGACGCCGCTGCGCACCAGGACATCTTGAGCCAAAATGGCTACGGGGGAGGGGGAGGAGGAGGAGGAGGAGGAGGAGGAGGAGGAGGAAGAGGAGGAGGAGGAGGAGGAGGAGGAGGAGGAAACGGGGATGGCGACAGGAGCGGAGTGGAGTGGGCCCCTGTTGCGGATGCAAGCACCGTTGCCACTTAAACTGGTCACTGGACATTTGGCTGGGAGACTCGAGTGCCGAGACGAGTGCTCAGCTTGACTGGGGACTTTGGGCTGTAACCCCCGAGCTATCCTGGGGGGGGGACGGATGAGGAAGAGAAGTGAGGAGGACGAAGTGGAGGAAGAGGGGGAGTAGGATGGCGTGGTGGGCAGGGGGAGGAGAAGGGGGGAACGATGCGCGACCTCTGACTTCCTGCCCATTCGCCGTGTCGATGTTTCTACCGCTATTGCTGCTTGCTCCTCCTCGTCCTTCTTGCTCGTGTCCCAGAACAGAAGCAACCGGCTCACCCTGTCGTCTACCCCTTCCCAAAGGTGTGTCACGATTAATTGTAAGCCCAACGGCCTTTTAACATGCACTGGGCACGGGTTTTCTGTTGACGTCGAATGGCAGAAGGGTGTGGTAACATGCATTTGGGCATGCACTGTGGCGAGGCTAGACGGTGATGATGACTATGACGAGCATCGTCGGTGATAAGTCGAGGATGTCGCACGGACCGCCCTACACGGTGTAGCACAGCACACATCACAACAGGATCTAGAAACGCGTACCGTAGCAACACACGTCAGACATGTTAAACTAACATCTGACTTAGGCTTCCTTCAGAATTCGTGGATCCAGCAAGTTTTGACCAGGGGTTCTGCCTGTGTGGGCGCGCTGGCTATTTGGCTCACAAAAGGAGAACGAATATCTGCCCAGTATCGGTCCCCAGACCCCTTTCTGAGCACCATCCTGATCTATTTACCGAGCTGCGTCCAGCAATGGCGACAAGAACCTCCAGAAACGCTTCACATCCTTTGACACAGCGCAATTGACGTCGTCAACGTTTTCGATCCTCCTCCCCTTAGCACTCGAACCACGGACCAGACCCAAGGCGCGTTGCGACCGCCGTTTCGATGAGGATCTGCCCCTCCTCCCCAAAGGCAAGACCCTTCCTCGAAGCTCGATCCCCGAACCTGGGCTGCACACCACGCAGGAGTCTGGCGGCGCGCGCACGGTGGGTAGTAGGGGGGAGAGGGCAAGGCTTCTTCCAACGGGGGCTGCTTCTTAGAAAGCGCCGGCCTGAGACCTGTAGACAAGGCTTGCGCCTTCCAAGTAGCAGGGTGCCTCCCTCCCATTCCCCCTGCACTCAGGTCGGGCGCGTCCTCCTGCAGGCGGATTGTAGAGGACAAAGGAAACATGCAGAACAATGTTCAACAGACTCTCAAGAATGGTCAGAACATCGCCCCCAGAGTTGTGTTTGGACTATTTTTAGATATTCCTCCTGCAGAGGGGCAGGCCGGACTTGACCCTGCACCCCTCCTGCGAGCGGCCGACACGTGACCCCGAGCAGGAGTGACTTCTGTTGTGCGGCCTGTCGACCGTGGCATGCGATGCGCAACATCGACGCGTGCGTGCTCGGGCCTGCCCCCCCCGCGCCCCCTCCCGGCCCCCCCACCGAAAGCCGAGCACCGACGGCCACCCCTAGGCAACCACGCGCGAACTCTACCTGAGGGGCAACGACATGGGGGGACTGGCATGGAAGGGAAAATCGGCATGGAACTGGCGATACATCTCCGATAAATCGGCGACTCGGATTCGGCCCCCGATCGTGCATCCGCGCGTTTCTGGGCAAGGTGGGGGCTATCGAGTCCTTATCGGCGATGAATGGGCGATTGGGGGTCGATGCGTCCCCCATATGCCTAGTCCCCCCTCTCGTTTCCCCCGACTGCCGCTGCAAATCGGACTTCTGAAACGCTGGCGGGGACTCAGAATGCGAAGGATGTCTGCAGCCAAGGGAGCCCAGAAGGGGACACCCGAGATGTACCCCAGCGTCGGCTGCACCCGCAGGGTCGGCTACACGCAAGAGTGACCCCAGGTAGCGACCTTTGGTGCGCGGCTTTTTTGGGGGGCCGCGGGGGGTCCAAACAGAAGGGCGCAAGACGCTGCGGTTGACCCGAAAGTGAAAGGGGGTCCAGCTGAAAGGGGGTGGTGCAATAGGTTTGGGGCAATTGTATTGCAAATGTATTGCGCCGGGGAATAATATTGCACTGTATTGCAGCTAACGTGCTGCTCGTAAAAAAAAACAGCAGTACATTGGCGCACCGGAACTCATTGCACGCCCCAAGTCTACTGCAACCCCGCAAATCGATTGCACAAAATCTATTGCACCACCCCCTTGCCGCTGGACCCCCTCTTGGGTCAACCAGAGAACTGGGGACCAATTCGTGCCCGCACCAAAGGTCACTCTGGCGAAAGGTCACTCTTGCGTCTGGTCGAGCAGGGGCAGGGCTCGCAATTGGCCGCAGAGCCCCGGCAAGGGACCACTCCTTCGTGCAGCTGGGGGCCCCGGTGCGACAACACCTCCTGCGGCGGGCGATCGGGGCGAACGGCTGGCGCCGCCGGGGGCCTTGAGCCCCTCGGGCAGCTCGTGGCCGGTCGGGGTGGCCCTTGCTTCTGGGGGGTAGCACACCGACACCGGCTCGGGGTCCACGGGCGTGCTGTCGGCAGCCTCTGTCGACGTCGGGGTCGTCGCCGCCGCCGCCGTCGCCGTCGTCGCCGTTGCCGTCGTCGTCGCCGCCGCGCGCAGGAAGGGACGAAGCGTCCTCCTTCAATGCAGCCTGGCTGCCTCCTGGCCCCAGCACAAGGGTGGGGGGAGGGAGCGGGGGGCGCCGTCGTCCAAGTGGGCGGTCGAGCGTTTGGGGGGGGCGGGGGGGGCGAGGGGAGGGGGGGGGCGCCGTCGGCATGTAAGGGCATGTAGAAGGAGGTGGATGCTGTTGGGTCGTTGCTGCTCTTCCTCCCACGGGGGCACTCGTCGCCAGGGCTGGAGTCGCAGGGACATCCACGGCAGCACTTGAGCCGGGACCGACCGTCGTGGCACTCCTTCAGGCCAACCACGGCATGCTCTTAGAACAAAAGAGTGTTAGCATAGCAAAGCAATGCTCTTAGAACGTGCAACCAATGTACTAAAACAGGGCAATGTTAGCCAAGCGTGTTCTAAGAACATTAAGTGTGAACCATAAAAGGTTAGGAGAACATTCTCGGGTGGGCCAAAAGGGAAGCCAGGGACGCTTCGCTACTGCTTGAAGAACGCGCTGCAGGAAATATCCAGTGGGGACCAAAGATGCCAACCCTCCAAGGAGGGGGGCTTCTTCGAAGTGGCACGCCCGGAAGAACGGGGATACAGAAACTGCTTACTTCCTACGCGCATCATTCATGTAAGCGGCGCAGTGCGCTCATGGTCGCTGTAGTGCGCATGGGCTTCATGGTCCTTGATGAGCATTGGAATTGGCGCACTTCCCGAAGAACACCCGCGCTCCCTTTACTTCGTGTCGCCGCTCTTCACATGTTTCGATTTCGCTGTTGCAAGAATATTCGGGAACCATCTGACCCGGGTCGACCCAAACCCGGGTCAGTCGGGCTCTGTAAGATCCTGCAAGCTCCTGCGCCCAAGCCCGGGTCAATGCACCCCTGGCTCAGCAGGATCCTGCAACATCTGGCGCTCTGGCTGACCCCCGTTTGCATTGACCCCCGTCCCTTACGGGGGGACGTAAAGGTGGGGTAGGGGCATAGGTGGGGTTCTGGGAGGAAAACCGTTCGAAACGGCTCCTGGAAGCGGGCAACGTGAGCATCCAGCTGAGCTCGTTCCCTAGCCACACCCTGGGAACAAAAACGCCCTCTACGAATCCCCGTCCCTTGAGCCCCGGCATAGTTGTCCAAATCTTGACCTCTGAACCTGCGGCCGGCTGCTCCTGCCGAACACTCCGACGGCAGGCTGCTGTCCCCGTCCAGCGGCGACCGCAGCTGGGCGGGCGACGCGGGCCCCGGGCGGGTCTCGTCCGCGGCGGCACCTACCGCGAGACCGCTGTCGGTCTTCGCGCCCGTCCCTGTCGTCCCCATCCCGACCCTCCCGACAATCGGCGGATTCCGTAAGCCCTGACAAGGTTGTCATCTCCTGGGAAGTCGACTTTTCTTCCACCGGCTTCCGACGACCTTCCGCCGGCTTCCGCCGGCGGGAGCCGCCTCGCTTTTCTTCCGCCGCCTTCCGCCGACCTTTCGCCGAGGAAGAGATGGCAACTTCTTCGATCTTTCGCCGAGGAAATAGAAGCCCTTTTTGGAAACGCCGCAGTGGGAGGTCCGACTTGGTGCGGTGTCAGACCGTGCGATGACCTCGGAGCCCCCAAAAATCTCACCGCACTGACGCCACCGAATGGCCTGGGGACCCTGGAGGCTCCAATTGTCCGAGACATCCTCGGAGAACGACCCGAGCCCCCGGCGTGCTCCGCGCGCCAAGAATGGGGGTCCAGCGCAGATCCAAGAAATCCGAGCGAATCTATTTGTCCAGCTTCTTTTTCTTCTTCGAGACTCACCACGAGGTGTCGTCACTGGAGGCCTCCTAGATGGGGTCTGAGTAGTTGTCGGCGGCCGATGCATCGGCGATGCATCGACGGTGCATCGGCTGTGCATCGGCGACGTCGGTGGTGCATCGGCGACGCCAGCATGGAGCACATCGGGCCCCGCATCGAGCTGCATCGCCGATGCATCGGCGATGTGGCGTGACCCTCCGACCCCATCTACACGGACCCCACCTGGAAGGCCTCGAATCGTCTGGAAGCCTCCTGGATAGAATTAGGTCGGGCGTGCCGTCGAAATCAACAAATAATCGTCCCCCGGGTCTGGTCTTTTGAGGCGTCTTTTTTAGAAGCAGGGGGGTCCGGTTTGTTGGGGTTGGTTTTTAACCGAAGACGAGGGTCCAGAATATGAAGGCCCCCTATTGACAAGGGGGTCCGGAAAATCAGGTAGCCGTTGAAGGGGGTGTCCGGTTTTTTCTTGGGGGTTCGATTATGGAGGGACTTCGAGTACAGGCTGACTTCCTGTACAAGTTTTGAATATTCCGCCTGCAGAGGGACAAGCCCGACTGAAGGATAGAAGGCCTCTCTCCCCCCTCGCCACTGGCCCCCCCTTGCGCGCCGCTGGGGCCAGCCGCCCCGCCCGCTGCCGCCCGCACGCGGCCGAGCGGCGCAGATCGTCGGGGGCGCCCGGTGTCGTCGTCTCGACGGGGGCGCGCCGGCTTCGACGAGATTTTTGGAAGGGGCCCAGGGAAACACAAACAAGGATACACAAACCACAGGATTCCAAATCTTTGACATATTTCCCAGATTTTCGCTTTCCCCTCCACTTCCCATCTTTGCATCTACGTTTCGTTGTGTGCGTATGTGTTGTCCTCTTTGTGTCCGTATGTTTTGCCCACCCCGTGTTCTCTGGCTCCTGGTCCATCGAGAGTTATTGGCGTCGAGAGTCTCTTCCCCCGCGCAGGTGCGATCTACAAGGTCACAAGTGGCAGGGCCGCCACGGAGGAGGGGGAGGAGGAACGGCAGTGCATCAGGGAGGACGCGGCGGAGGAAGGACGAGGGAGGAGGAGGAGGACCACTGTAAACCCAAGACTCATCAACGATGTTGCGGTAAACCATCTCTCCGAACTCCCTCTTCGTAGGCCCCCTGCAAGGATCTCCTCCTCCTCCTCCTCTCCACTGACAGAAGTGGCCCGTTGGAAAGTAGCTGTACAACAAGCCGGAGCTGCACCAGAAAACACCACTCCTGGGACGTCGGCGCCGCGAATCACCGTTACCGTCGGGGCGTTGACCTAAGGAACCCTAAATAAGGAACGAGGCCCCTTTTTCCCATAAGTTAAACTTCGATTTCCCGTGGAAGACCTTAAGCAAAACCAAAGGCGAACTACAAAACAACTAAGGAACACCGAGCCCCTCCCCAACGAAAAGGGTTCCTTCTTCAGGGCCCCGACTGTACTGCTACATCTTGACGAAGTGTGCCCGGACGCCACCTTTGGGACTTCAGCACCACGGATCAGCGTCACTGTTGCGCCCTGACGGGCCGACATCATGCAAAAATGCCATTTCTGGGATGTTGACATTGGTAACCCTTGAGACTGCCATGAACTCTTAAAGCGGATGTGCATGGAATTGGGGCGAGAACCACATTTTGAAAACGACCCGCCCTCCATCCGTGAATCTCTGACAATTTTGTATGACGAATGCGCGCGGCGCTGAAGCGGTAGACACATTTTGAAAAGGAACCGTCCTCCATCCGTGAAGCTCTTGCTACAATTTAAACCGAATGCCCGCGGCGCTGGGGCGGGAGAGGCATCTCAAAAACGACCCGCCCTCCATCCGCGAATCTCCTGCAATTTCGTATGCCGAAGGTGCGCGGCGCTAGAAAAGCGAGAACCGCATTTCGAAAACGACCCGCCCTCCACGCGTGAGGCGCTTGCAGTGTTCTCCAGCGAGTGTGTGCGGCGCGAAAATCGAAACCGCATTTTGGGAGGGACCCGCCGTCCATCCGTGACGCTGTCGCAGGCTTTGAAGCTTCAGTTTCATTGGTGGTGAGGAAGTCTCTCCGGCGGAACACCCAGCCCGCCCTTTCCGACCGGCCTCGGGGTGCGGCGGGGCAGAGGAGTGATGCACAAGTGCACGGAGTGCAAGAGGAGGATGATGACCATGCTGCTGCTGATGATGATGAGGAGGAGGAGGAGAAGGACCTACGTAAACCCAAGACCCAACAACGATGTCGGAATGCACTGTCCCCTGCAGGCTTCCTCTTCGTAGGCCCCTGCGGATGTTTGTTTCCACGGGTGGAACTGTTTCAGTGGCGGATAACCGTTTGAAGACCCTGAAGCGTGCCCAAACACCAGTCTCGGGACTCCAGCGCCACGAATCAACTTGACTGCTACGTCTTGCCGAATTTGAATCGTGCCAGAACAACTTCCTGGGACTTCAACACCTCTAATTAACGTAACAATGGCGCCCTCACATTTCAACAAAGAACTTCTGTTACGTTGACCATGGGAACATGTGAAACACTTGCTACAGTTTAAGACGCCTGTGCGCGGCGCTCAGGCGAAACCAACATTCTGAACCGCCCTCCGTCCGCCAAACTCTGACAATTCTGTTACAACGAGTGTGCCCGGCGCTGAAGCGAGAACCATCATTTTCAAAACCACCCGTCCTTCATCCGTGAAGCTCTTGCAGACGCTGCGGAACGAATGTGCGCGGCGCTGAGGCGAGAGACGCGTTTTGAAAACGAACCACCCACCATCCGTACCCGTCTTGCAAAAGTTTGAGACGAATGTGCGCGGCGCTCAAGCCAGAACCACATTTTGAAAACCACCCGCCCTCCATCCGCCAAGCTCTGACAATTTTGTTACAACGAATGTGCCCGGCGCTGAAGCGAGAACCATAATTTTCAAAACCTCCCGCCCTTTATCCGTGAGGCGCTTGCAGACGCTGCAGGAGGAATGTGCGCGGCGCTGAAGCGAGAGACACGTTTTGAAAACGAGCCACCCACCATCCGTACCCGTCTTGCAAAAGTTTGAGACGAATGTGCGCGGCGCTCAGGCCAGAACCACATTCTGAAAACCACCCGCCCTCCATCCGCCAAGCTCTGACAATTTTGTTACAACGAATGTGCCCGGCGCTGAAGCGAGAACCATAATTT